TGTAAGTGAATTCTTCCCTGGGGGTGTCCTGGGCAGTTCAGAACACACGCATGGCTCCTGGCACAAGAAGCCACTAGAATCCCTGCCACACACAGAAGGTCCCAGAGCCCAAATGTCCTCAGCAATTATAGATATGTGTGTATCAACCGATGCAGGGTGTAAAGGACGCATTCATGATAGTAACTCAAGCAGCTGAAGTGACAGCTTGGGGTTAAGAACATGGACTGCTACAGCAGAGGGCCCAGGTTCAGCTTCCAGTATCCACGTGGGGTTGCTCACAACCACTTACAAATCCAGCTCTAAGGGACCTGACAAGGTTGTCTAGACTCTGCAGCTACCTGCACTCACGTGCATGTTTCCATGTGCATGAACACACACACATATACACACACTTTAAAAATCCTTAAAAACAGTAATATATAATAATGCATTGTAGCCTCACTGACCATGAACAATGTGCATCAACTAGAGCTGGGGTTTGTTGCCATGGTCTGTTTGGTGCTGGGAAGTGAGTGAAGGGCCCCACATGCTGGGCAACACCCACCACTGACTGTTCCCGGTGTCTGACCTTTAGTCTCTTATGGTAAAACTTTGGTCAGACTTGGTCGTTTGAATCAATCAATCAACTAGATAAACATCTCAGTGCTTTTGCTCTAATTTAAAATAAAGAATGAACTTTTGACTTCTTCCCATCTCAAGTAGTATAAGGCCATTAGAGCTGGAAGAATGACAAAGTTGTATAGCAGGGTTTTTTTTTCTATAGTGGTGTAAAAAAAAAAACTAAAATTAAAAGTTTTGGGATGAAAATGTCTCATTAGCTGGTACAATGACAGCCACTGCATATGTCAGAAACAGCAAATCTCAATCTATGGGTCACATATCAGATATCAGATATTCACATCACAATTCATAGCAGCAGCAAAACTACAGTTACGATGTAGCAATGAAATAATGTTATGGTTGGGGCCACCACAACATGAGGAACTGTAATAAAGAGTCGCAGGATTAGGAAGGTCGAGAACCACCACAAAGTTTAATTGTACTTATTTTGTGTCTAATACAATGACAGTCACTGCATATATCTGAAGTTTAATTGTACTTATTTTGGGTTAGGCTTTCATTATGGCTACTGAATTAATTATGTTCTTCCATAAGCTGTACGTTTTTCAAAAAAGAAAACTTTAGGGTCTGAGAACGCAGTTTGTTGGCATGGATGAAACACCCAGTGCTATCCTCCTATACAAACATAACCACACACATGTGTGTTTGTGTGTGTTTGTATGTATATACATATATAATGAATCTTAAATGTCTGCTACTATTAGGAGGCTGAAGTATATTTTAATGCTAACCTAAGATAGGTAAAGTATTAAACTAAAACATTCCTCTTTACACATTAATAAGATGATACTGAAGTAAATTCTAAATTAAACAGTTTGTTATTAATGGTTAGTGCCTGTTTAGCTACTCATTGTCAATTATGTCCTTTGACATGTGCTCAGGGGATAAACTGAAGGAGAAGAGAAGACTGGATTGTATCACTAAAAGGAGGCTTAGTTCCCAGTCTCCTAAGCCTCAGTCAACTTCATACACAGCACTTGCATCCAGGGAAGGGTTTCCCAACTCTCAGGCATGCATTGCACACACAGACACAGGAAAAGGCCAAGACAAACGGCTTAATAAAAATGACATAATGAAAACAGCATTTAGTCCATAATTATGAACAATAATGAAATATAATGCAATTCATGAGATGTAGCATCACAATGATTGATATCTCTAATGATAACCTAATGTACAATACCATCCTGACTCTTCACAATCATTTTAAAATATTTACATATTAGTCCAGAGCAATATTTTAAGTGTTGGTCATTTATACTGTTTATGTCACTAGAATTCATTACTTTAAAAAATATTTCTCAAACATTGTCCTTATTGTGAAAATATGGGTCATGGAATAGTTAACTACTAATATTTCTCTAACATTGTTATACAAATCCAGAACGAAGGATAGAAATAATCACTCACTGTCCTTAAAAATATCACCTCTACATATTCTCTGAGAAAGTTTACTATGGAAAGACCAACGCTTTAAAAAATTACTGTTAACTTACAGTACAGAATGGTTATTGAAATAGTTTTTTGTCATGACCTATCTCCATGTGTAAAAACCATAGGGGGAAAATCATTTATATATAATCCACCACTTTCAGTTTGAAAGACTTAACAGTAGATGCCTAAGAAAATGTGCTGATTGTGCTTAGCAGATAAAAAAAAAAAAAAATTCTAAAAGTTCTTGGACCTGATCACACCCAACAGCCCTACCATGTTTGCTGGTAGTTGCTAGTCTGAATTTTACGAGGCCTGTTAGGATTAAGTTTGAAAGGATTGTTTCTGACTGGACTCTTGGACTAGCAGATGCCTCTGGGAGTTGCCACATTTTCAGGATCACACACAGTCTTTCAAAACCATCGTAAGCATCCAGTGGAAATACTGCAAGCGGCACACAAAGCCAGCGGCACACATGGCTCTACTCTCATGATGCTTTTGCTTATGACCACTAAGTACTCTGTATCCATGAAAATAATCCCTATATATTGTGAATGTTTCTCAAACAGGACTATACGAAGATATATTCATTAGAGTTCTGCAAGAGAATCTAATTTTTATAATTTAATTCAGTGCCATAATTTAAACAGCAGTCTTTAAAAATTAATATAGTATTCTAGCTGACTTCAGAGTAATTGTCCAACACTAATAAAAACAAACAAAACTAGAAGCAGAGTCAATGTTAATAAGAGATAATAAATGACAGGTCTGCCTCAAGAGAATGTCTAAAGCACTGCTCACTATTAAAATAATGATCTCCTCATTAGCTCAATACATCTCTCTTCTACCAGTTAACCAGAATTGGTTTCAGATGTTTGCAATGAAGACCCCGACTAGCCTATTGTCTGATACCATCTAATGTTTCTTTTACCATAATGCTAGCTACCACTGCTCAATTAGAATTAATTCATCTATAAAATTTTATAATCCAGTTTTCCTGTGCAAGAGGAATCATAGCACACAGACCATTCTGAACTTTAATGCTTTCCACTTAACAGACTACCTTAGAGATTCAGCCACAGTAAAACAGTGAGCCCACAGCATGATCTATAACCAGCATTTACTATTCCATCATGAGAGTATCCCATAACCTACTCAGCCAGTTTCTAACTGGAGGGTACCTGGAATGTTTCACATCCTTTATAATTACAAGCAGGCTTTGGAATGAGCTAGTAGCCTCTCTGTGCACATGAACTTCTAGGAAGATACAACTTTATTGGTAAAATCCAAGCACATACAAAATTATTCTTCAAAGAAATCTACTAGGTTACATGTATGATAGATGTATGCCTGCTTCCTCTACTCTGCCCAACCTGGTGAATTAGTAAATTGGGCCTTTGGCTAGATGGTTGTAAAAAAAAAATTTTTATGTGTTAGAATTCTTTATGTCTCTCTGACATGTATAATAATATTTTTACCATAATTTGTTATTTTTATGTATTCAAATATAGCAAAATTTTATTTCATGGTTTATGGACTTGGTGCCTTTAGAGCTGGCCTTGAGGATGGAGGAGGGATGGCTTAGTGATTAAGAGCACTTGCTGCTCTTACAGAGAACCCAAACTTATTTCCCAGCATCCATAGAGTGGCTCACAACCATCTGTAACTACAATTCCAGGGGATTTGATGGCCTTTAATTACCTCTGTCAGCATCAGGCATGTACACAGTACACATACATACACACAGACAAAACACTCATAAACATAAATAAAATAAATCATTTTTTAAAAGCCATCCTTGTCTGCTCTTCATGTTGTCAATTAAATAGTCAAGTGTTAATTCAATGGGAACATAGTAGGCAAAAAAAACTAAGGAAAGTTGCAAACAAAGCTTTTTCTAGATAGTTAACTGCTATTATACTAGTTAGTAGACCTTTGCCTTGATGGCTGCGATGCCAGCTTATTCCCACACTAAGTTCTGTGACAGATTTGGGTTGACTTCTGGGCTTCTACTGGCCCAAAAAACAGTACCCACACTGTTTTAATATTTGTACCTTTAGAGTATACTTCAACATTTAATATATCATACAGTTAAATTTACTTATTTACTTACTATTTTTAAGACTTTATTTTTAATTATGTATGCATGTCTGTGTGTAAGCATGTGCAGGTGAGGTGAGGGTGTGATCTCCCTAGAGCTGGGGCTACAGGCAGCTGGGAGTCATCTGACTCAGGGGTGGGGGCTGGGAACTGTACTTGGTCCTCTGCAAGAGTACCACATGCTCTTAATCACTGAGCTCTTCTCCGGACCTCAACATGTGTTTTATACATTCTCATCATCATCATCAGTGTGTGTGTGTGTGTCTGTGTGCATGGATGTGCTCAACACTGGAGAATCAGTTCTCTCTTTCCACATTTACAATGGGTCCCAGGGAATGCAATCAGGTCAACAGGCTTTTGTGGCAAACGTATTTGCTAAGCCATATTGCCAGACCCAGCTAATTTTTATTTTATATCAAAAGGTTTGTATAAAAAAGATTTCTGTGATGGTAATATTCAAAGAAAAACTACATTTTCTACTTATAAGTAAAAGATGACAACGTTTACTTAGAAGTACTATGTGCAAAAACTGTGGCGGACAGGGTAAAGCCGTGCTCTAAGGTTTGTTGACAGGGAATGGGTGTGCTGAGCTCATCAGTTTTCATTCTTTCTCTTTCTTACACACTGTCCTTTCATAACTATCTTAAGATAGAGACTCATGTACCCCAGGCTAGCCTTCAATTCCCTCTGCAGCTGAAAACCGCTTTGAATTCCTAACCCTTCTGCTTCCATTCCCCAAGTGCTGGGACAGTAGGCACACACCAGCAGACCCTTGGAGCATGTCATGTCCTGTCTATCTTCAGCGTGCACACATCCACACCTCGGGGTGGTGTGCTGACAATTCATACCTGTTTGATTTCTTCAATAGCCAGAGTAACTGAGAACAGGACTGCCTGACCAAAGCTGCCCTGACAGGAAACGTGACGGGCTGGGTTAGTCCGCTGCATATGTAGTCCATCTCTTTCACCATTGTCCAACTATAGCCTGAAGCGAGAAGAAAGAAATGTGTACGTTTCTGACTGGAATCGTGGAACTCAATTAACTAAAAGACCAAATTACCCAGGGTTTTCTCAAAGCAGGTGAAGACAAGCTTTGGTTCTACATCTTGAAAATAAACATTTCCCATGGAAGCTTGTGGACAGATGTCACCAGGGTCTACGTGGAGTAACAGAAGGGAGGGCACACACACCTGCAGGGTCGGATCTTTCCTAAAGGCCCTTTGCCTGAATGCGATGACCTTTAGCTACTTCACAACTGGACCACAGTTTAATTCGGCCAACAGTAAACACTTGATTAGAACTACCACCTGATGGCTGAGTTTCTGTCCCACCTGGTCCTGCAGCCATTTAGTCCCATATAAATACACAGAGGCTTCTATTAATTACAAACTGTTTGGCCGATGGCTCAGGTTTCTTGTTGGCTGGCTCTCTCTTAATTATTAACCCATTTCTACTGAACTATGTATTTCCACAAGGCTGTGGCTTATCCCTAATGCTCCAACATGTCACTCTTTCGTCAGCTACATGGCTTCTCCCTTCAGACTTCCTCTCTGTGTTCCTCTTCCCAGCATTTTCCTGGTCTGGTAGCCCCGCCTACACTTCCTGCCTGGCTATGTCCTGCCTGCCCATTGGCCAAAACAGCTTTATTCATCAACCAATAAGAGAAACATATGTTGACAGCATACAGAAGGCCCTCCCCAATCAACCACCTTCATTGACTTTCTCGGGGTGCCATCCTGTTGTCCAACCCAGGGAAAAGGTCACATCTGGGAAGAAGGATGTCACGGTGTCTAGAAAGGCTTTGGCATCCACGACTTTGCTGCTTCCGTTCGGCCCAGGAAGAATGTCTGCATTCATCCACACGGGGCACTGCAGGTGATGCTTCACATTGTCCAGGAATAGCATGGAAGCTCTGGCGGCTTCCAGGCTGAAAGAAAGTTTGCGACCAATGAATCGCCCCGCACTGAGGCAGTCTAATTGTATGGGATGGGAGGGGAAGACTAACCCACACAACTTACTTCACAATATTTATACTTCTTTTTCAGGAAAGGAACTTAGAGATTTTGCAGTGGTATAAATAATGCCAGTTGCTATGAACCAAACAGGGGCTTCAAAACTCTGTATTCGGGCCACTAAGTGTGAAATGAAATGATGTAAGACAAGTTATAAATGTTCGCTTTCCATTCACACCCAGGGAATAGCAGGTACAGGTGAACATGTTCTGGTCCATGCCACGGCTTTTGATAAGAGACTGACACTTGAAATCCTGCGGGAGACAAGGTTTCTTTTCCTTCACGCATGAGTAGGTGAGTATGCAGACAAACACATTTCATAAAAAGCCTGCGAGGCGTAAAACTCCATTTCCTAAAGCTAACACAGAGCCTGGAGTCCTGTGCTGCAAGCCCCTTCTGTGGAAATGAGGGAGGAGGTTTCAATGTCACTTCAACAGTGGCTTGTCTTCTCTCCCTGCAACTGCTATGCTCACGGACTTCACAACAGATTTTGTTGTTGTTTTGACTTGTTTAACTGTTGGGTTTTTAGACAAGGTCTCACTATGTATTCCTGGTTGGCAAGGAGCTCACTCTGTAGACCAGGCTGGCCTCAAACTCAGAGATCCACCTGGCTCTGCCTCCACACCCTCGAATTAAAAGGAATGTGCCGCCATGCCCAGCTTGCAAAATGGTAAGATTAGTACATCATTTTTACTGTGTGTGTGTGTGTGTGTGTGTGTGTGTGTGTGTCTTACTGTTCTCAAATACACACACACACACCCCACACCTTAACTGGAAAACCTCACTACTTCTAAAGGTTTTTTCCAACCTTTAAGATGAACCTTCTGAATCTATAGAAAGGTCCACCAAGAGAAACAGTTGCTGTGCTACCGTGATGGATGCTGAGAACCATGGGGATGGGAGGATGCTGAGGATGGGCAGGCCCATCTGTACTTCTCTCCTGTGCCTCCTACATTTTTTATGATAATATTTTTATTTACATTTGAAACAATTTATTTACCTTTTTTATTTACACGTCAATCCCAGTTCCCTCACCCTCCTGTCCTCCCCTGTTCCCCCCAGCCCCCATTCCCTCCCCTTTCTGCTCCCCAGGGAGGGTGAGGCCTTCCATGGGGGATCTTCAAAGTCTGTCATATCATTTGGGACAGGGCCTAGGCTTTCCTCCGTGTGCCTAGGCTGACAGAGGATCTCTCTGTGTGGAATGGCTGTGCCTCCTACTTTAAGGAGAGAATTTTACTGGACTGTGTGCTGAAGCCAGAGATACATGGCACTTGGCCTCCAGTCTCCTTTGCCTGGCACAATCTCCCACTGTCTTTGAAATGGACACCATAGATTTTAGTGAGATATTAAAGTAAGTCTTAGGCAGGACCTTGTAGATTCTAATTTAGATGCTTTTATTTCTCTGTAATGCTTCTTGCCTTCTATTATATTGATGCCTGTTAAAAACCTCAATTTTAGCCAGGCAGTGGTGGCACATGTCTTTAATCTGAGTACTCGGGAGGCCGAGGCAGGTGGATCTCTGTTAGGTCGAGGTCAGCCTGGTCTACAAAGCTACACACAGGCACCCTGTCTCAAAAACAAAACAAAACAAAACAAAACAAAACCCCCTCAATTTTAGGAGGCTTCACAGATGGCTCAGCAATTAAGAGCAGTAGCTGCTCTTCTAGAGGTCTTAAGTTCAATTCCCAGCAACCACATGGTAATTCACAATCATCCCTAGTGAGATCTGGTGCCCTCTTCTGGCCTGCAGTCATACATGCAGGCAGAACACTGGATAATAAATACATACATACATACATACATACATAAATACATAAATAAATAATCCTTAAAAAAGAAAACCATCTCAATTTTAAAATCCACAGGGAACCCCAGAAGACCCCAAATCATCAGAAAATCCAAGGAAAAAAGAGACAAGCTATCTGGGCATGGTGGCACACACCTTTAATCCCAGAATTTGGGAAGCAGAAGCTGCTGTTTCTCTGAGTTCAAGGCTGCTATGATCTACAGAGTGAGTTCTAAGACAGCCAGGGGTACACAGAGAAACCCTGTCTCAAACAAAACAAAACACCGAAACAAAATAGCAAATTCAGATGTACCTCAATATCTGATTTCAAAGCATATAAATCAAGAGTGGTGACATATGGCTGTAATCCTGAGAGGCTGGGGTTGGGGGGCTGGGAAGGGAAGGGGGCGCGGGGGGGGGCGAGTTCAACAACACCACCACAGGGCACATCTGTAGTAAATACAACAGCACAGACTTAAGGTCAGATTCTGTGCCGAGAGACCCACGCCGAGCACTCGGTTCCCAGCCTGCGGCACTGTTCTACAAGGGGCAGGCCTGTGAGGGCTGTCCCTGCACCTGGTCACGGCTTGCTTCTTGTGAACAGATTCATGGCACGGGAACATTGCCCCAGACAGCATCCATCCTCTCCAGCTGGGTGGACTGAAGCTCCTCTAAAACCCTGAGCCAAGGTCTGACAGATGTTTCAGTCAAACAGTTTGGTCACAGAGATGCACAAGTAAACCAATAAAGACTGAGCATTGTACCTTCTCCTGCTGTCTTGGGAATTTCATCTAGAAATTGAAGGCATAAAAACCATCCCTAAAATTATAGACAACTTAAAATTGCATTTTAGAGGAAAATAATCTGTTAAAACCCTAGAGTCAGCTACAACTCCAGATAAAATTTAAGCATCACCACATATTACTAAATGATAATTACGATGCCATATTATAGTCATGCATTTTCATTTGTATGTTATATAACATAACTGGGAAGCACAAAACAAGACCCAGTAGAATACCATCCAGCTCCACCTACAGAGGTGGTTCAGTACTTTGCTTAAGAACTCAGGCTGGGGCTGGAGAGATGGGTCAGTGGTTAAGAGCAGTGGCTGCTCTTTCAGAGGACCAGAGTTCAATTCCCAGCACCCACATGGTGGCTCACAACCATACATAATTAAATCTGGTACCCTCTTCTGTCCTGTAGGCAGAACACTGTATACATAATAAGTAAATAAATCTAACAAACAAACAAACTGATTTTAAAAAAATGAAGGAAGGAAGGACTCAGAAAGAAAGAAAGAAAGAAAGAAAGAAAGGAAGAAAGAAAGAAAGAAAGAAAGGGACTCAGGATGGCTATGTGGCTCATCTGTTAAAGGAGCTTGCTGCTAAATCTGATAATCTGATTCGACATCTAGGATCCACAAGGTGGAAGGAGAAAACCAACTCCTGCAAGTGTCCTCTGACCCCCACAGGCCTGCTCTGCTGTGGGGTTTAGGAACACACACACACACACACACACACACACACACACACACACACACACACACTCGCGCATATACACACATTAAAAAAAAAAAAAAAGAATGTTTACTCTCAGGCTGAGAATGCAGCTCAGTGGTAGAGAACGCACATAGCATGAACGAGGCCCTGCATTTGGTCCCAAGCACCACAGATGGGAAAACAAGTGAACTGTCCTTTTCCCGCCAGGCTGACGCTCTCCACTGCACACCATCTAAGCACAAGCAGGCTGCCTATCCCCAGCCTCCATTTCTTCATATGCAAGTGAGAGCAACACCTCTTGGCATTGTTATGGGGATCACGTGTAAAACACACATACAGCTTTCAGAACTGTAATAACACATGTGACCTCTACAACTCTGCAGAGCAGTGCACACTCTTGGTGGCTGAGCCACGTCTGCAGCCGCAGTCAGGCGTGCTGTATACTACTGTTGCAGAGGATCTAAGTTTGGTTCCCAGCACCCATGCTGGGGGGCTCACAATCACCTGTAATCCAGATCCAGGGAGTCTGTCACCCTCAAATTGCCTCTGAGGGTACATATCCCCATGCATGTACACACACTAAATTAAAAATTAAAGTTAAAAATAAAAACAACAGCAAACACTTGAAACCCTGCACACGCGCGGAAGAGGAGAGGTCTAAACATTTAACCTTGCAAGCGCTACATACAGATTAACCCTGGGAGCTGAGGCTGGCACAGCCATCAGGTGACTCCTCAGCTGTTCGGGGACTAAGACTGCCGATAAAGCAGATGGGCCACTCACCACCCACAAAGCTCTGTGGTTCAGGTGATTCCTTAACTTGCACATCCTTGTTAATCCAGACTCCTGTATGTCCATGCAGCCACACGCCACAACAAAGTGACAAGGTTTGCTGGGCATTCCCCCACACATCCCTACTCACTTCCTGAGATACTTTGATTTTACAGAATTGTAAACATTTTTATTTGTATGTGTGCCGTGTGGACAGAGGTGCCCACAGAAGCCTGCAGAGGGCGCTGGGGTTACAAGCTGCTCCGAGCTGCCTGACATGGGTACTAGGAGCTGTACTTGGTCCCCCAGAAGAGCAGTTAGTGCTCTTACTACTAAGCTGCCTCACCAGCCCAGAGGTAACTTCATGGTGAGGTCTGTATGAGTCAGGGATGGGACAGTTTGTGCCGGGAGCAATCATGGCATAAGCCTTAGAGACTGCCAGCCTTTTCTGGAGAAAAAAAAAAAAGGAGAAAAAAAAAAAAAAAAAAAAAAAAAAAAAAAGGCTGGCAATCTCTAAGGCTTATGCCAGGATCGCTCCAGGCAAGTTTGTTACAATTTCTGGGTCTGAACGGCAGTGGCTACTGGGGATTTGTGGTAAACCATTCTGCTTCCCCTAAACTCCAGGCATTATAGTGTCTACACTGCCAATAATAATAAAAGGCAAGTCCCCTGTGATGGCCACTGGGAGGGAAATGACAGTCATTCCTGCTCACATGGTCAATTTCTGAAAAATAGCATTGTAAAGGGTACTTTGATTACTGAAGACTTCCAGATAAGCCTCTCTACTAATGTAAAAACAGTTGACACTTAGCACTTATCAGCTCTGTTAACATCGTCTCCTTTCAGAGCACTTTAATTTGTTATTCTGTGGTGTGGCAGTCACATGTGAAACATTCCTGATAAAAACTGACCTCAGTCTTAAAGGAACAGTCTTAGCCATCAGCATGAGGTTGATGTAAGACTATTCCAGAGACACATACAGGCCTAAAATTTCATTTTCAGTTGGTAAGGTTCGAGAGTAGGTAGCCAAAGACAGAGATGCGTATGTCAACATTTTCCCAAAAGAGAATTCTACAGTAAGAAGAACGTTGTACAAATACCTCTTGAAATCCAACTTGATGCCCTTGTTGCTCTTCATGACCTCAGCCAGCCACTCCTGCAGAGTGTTATCACTGTTTGTCTCAGGAGGATGGGCCATGATTGGCTGGCCATGCTCTGATCCATCACTAGGAAGAAGGACATCAGCCTCTATCATGTGGGCAGCACCTGCCCAAGTAAGAGAGCTACGTTACTGCCGAGCCAGGATGGAACCACAGGACAAGAGTGTCACTACACACGAGAAGGAAGGAAAGAATCATTTACTGGAAACTGCTGAATGCCAGGCACTGTACAAGACCCACACATTATCCTTACATCACACAGCTCTTTTAAGCCATGATCCTACCCACAAATCATATCTAGTAGAATATGAGCACATAAAGGAAAGGGAAGCCTATTAAGTATTGTTGGAGTTTTCTAGTAGCAAAAATAGTACATTTGAGCTGAGGGTATCCCTCAAAAGTGCTGCTTGCCTAAGTATGAGCAAGATGCTGGTTTTACCTTTAGTACCACACACACAGAAACATACCTGTACACACACAGAGAGACACATACACACCTGTACACACACATAGACACCTGTACACACACAGAGACACATACACACCTGTACACACACATACACCTGTATACACACAGAGACACATACACACCTGTACACACACATAGACACCTGTACACACACAGAGACACATACACACCTGTACACACACATACATACCTGTACACACACATACACCTGTATACACACAGAGACACATACACACCTGTACACACACATAGACACCTGTACACACACAGAGACACATACACACCTGTACACACACATACATACCTGTACACACACATACACCTGTATACACACAGAGACACATACACAGCTGTACACACATATACATACCTGTAAACACACACACCTGTACACACACAGACACACATATACCTGCACACACAGAGACACATACACACGTGTACACACACATACACACCTGTAAACACACACACACCTGTACACACAGAGACACATACATACCTGTACACACACAGACGCACATATACCTGCACACACACAGAGACACATACACACGTGTACACACACATACATACCTGTAAACACACACACACACCTGTACACACAAAGAGACACATACACACCTGTACACACATATACATACCTGTAAACACATACACACACATACCTGTACACAGAGACACATACACACCTGTACACACATATATATACCTGTAAACACATACACACACATACCTGTACACAGAGACACATACACACCTGTACACACATATACATACCTGTACACACACACAAACACACCTGTACACATACAGACACACATATACCTGTACACACACAGAAACACATACACACCTGTACACACACATATACATACCTGTACACACAAACACATATATGCATACACATATACACTCATGAATATACACATAGATATAGACACACATATACACTCATGAATATACACATAGATATAGACACACACATACACATGAGCACACACATATATAGATACACATACACAGACACATGCATGTAGTATCTTCATGATTTCAAATTAGAATCCATGGACATTCATTGTTCATGCCTGAAACTACACAAAAATTGACATCTTTGCAGTTCAGTGGTGGCACATGCCCTTAACCCCAGCACTTGGGAGGCAAAGGCAGGTAGATCTCAAGTGTGTCTGAGGCCAGCCTGGTCTACAAAGTGAGTTCCAGGACAGCCAGGACTGTTACACAGAGAAACCCTGTCTCAAAAAACAAAAACAAACACTATTTAGCATCATTGATTTAAAACTTAGCTACTTTTTAAAAGTGATTTGATTTGTGGGACAGACTATCCCCACAGTCTAGGCTGGCCTTAAATCTGCAGTTGTGCTAATCCAGCCTCCCAAATGCTGGGATTACAAGCATTCACTACCACCTCTAGCTCTGCATGTCTCCTGCTAGGAGAGTAACAGAAACACATCTGGAATTAGATGATGTCCTAACAAAACCTTGACACACAGCACTGGCACTCAGACCTGGGGAAGCTTTAAGAAAGGAGCTGTTCGTGGAAATGGACAAAGCAGCATAGGAACTTGTTACAAGTAGGTTTCCACCAGCCTGGTCCCAGCCGCAGCAGCCCCAAATAACACACAGAGAGATGCTATATTAGATATAAAGCTGTTGGCCTGTTACTAGCATTTCTTATTGGCTAGTTCTGTTTTAAATATTAACCCATTTCTATCCATCTAAGTGTTTCCATGTTGTCTTATCTTACCGGAGAACGGGTCTGGAGTTCTTCTCTCTCGGTCCTACATTTTGAATCTTCCTCCTACCTCTTCCTGAACCTCGTCTCATGGTCCCGCCTATCTTGCTTTCCTGTTGGCCAACTGGAACTATCTGACTTGAGAACAAACATCTGTCTTAATTTTTATACTTATTTCTTTATTTTGTGCATATATGTGTCTGTGTGCATGCATGTGCGTGTCACAGTATGCATGTGGAAGTTAGAAGACAATGTGCAAGAAGAGTTGACTTTCTCCTTCTACCATGACGGTGTGGGTATTGAACTTAGGTTGTCAGGCTTCGTATTAAGCACCTTTACCCACTGAGTAATCTGTTTTATACAATAGTAAAACTTTGGCAACACAATCATTTGTAGTAATGGCAGAAAATGGAGAGGAAAGGATGAGAATGAATTTGTGGAGTTGATGTGGGTGGTCTCACAGAGATGCCCCAAGTGTCAATTGGTCTCTTTTAACAACCTATGTTAATGATGAGAATAAAGAAGATAAATAATTAACTTTTGGGCTTTTTAGTAGCAAACTAAGGAAATATTTCCAAGATAGACCCAAACACTGCTCTAGAAACCTCGTCTTCCATACAATTACATTGGCAATTCCATTTAAATGAGTTTGGAGGAGAAAAACTTTTCAATCAAAGCACTACAATAAAATATCATTTCCGTGCCAACACAGCCAACAAAGCAGCTGCAAGTTCTTTTATTAACCCTCAGGACAGTGCCTGTTCCTCCTACACAACTAGATGAAGAGAGTTTAGAATACTAAGAGTATGTTTCCAATCAACTCAGAATGGAGACCACCACAAAGCAACCTGGGTATGTAGCTTTTGACTAGAGGAGTGGTTTATAATTTGGTATATAATAAACCCACAAGCTGGGGCTGGAGAAAGGGCTCAGTGGTTACCAGCCCTGGCTACTCTTACAGAGGACCTGGGTTCAGTTCCCAGCATCCACATGGCAGCTCACATGTTTGTAACTTCAGCGCCAGGGGATACAGTGCTCTCCTCTGCCCTCTGCAAGACAATATTCGTGCACATGGTAGACAGACATGCAGACACAACACTCAGACACAGAAAATTATTAAATAAGTCTTAAAAATAAAGCCTACATGTTTATGGGAGACACATACAATTGACTCTAAATGAACAGACGTAGTTCAAGCAGAGATCAAAATGAAAGAAGTTTGTAGGTCCCCAAGGGTCACAACTAGGTCTGAGCAGTGAGCAGCAGAGAGCCACTTCCATAGAGACATCACCAGAGGTGCAAGGGTATTTCTCCTTTAAAGAAAATGTACACGTCTTATTTGTTTACAGCATCATGTGCATGTCCCAGTACACACATGGGGGGGGCAGAGAACAGCACGTGAGAGTTGGGCCTCTCCTTCCACTGCGGCATGCACCCCTGGGATCTCATGTTGGCAGGCTTGGTGGCAACTGTCTTTATCCTTCGAGCCATTTTGCCAGCCCATCAAGGGCATTTAAGCTTTGGGGAGACACAAATCTACATCGCAGTGACATATACCAATTCGCACACACTGGGGTGCTGGCCAAAGATGTGACGAAATTAGAATCCTATCCTCACTATCCGTAGGAACAGAAACGAGTACAACAAATTTGGAAATGTTGACATTTCCTTAAAATGTTCCTTAAGAAGTGGAATCCAGATTAGTCATTCCTTTGCTTTCCATATTAAAAAAAAAACAAAACCTAAATGCATGCCCCTCAAAACTTGCATGTGAACATTGATATGCAAAGACAATGGCTGCCCAGAAAAGCCATGTGCCCCCCTAACCATCAGGCAAGCGCGAACACTTGTAGCCTAGCTCCTACTAACCCATGTCTTACACAGATATCTGGAGGCTAATCTCTTATGGTTCAAGGACCCTTCCACAAATGGTAAGCCTTGGCAAAAACAACTTACACAGAAAATTTACTCCTTAACATGAGCCTGAGCCTGAGCCTGAGCCTGAGCCTGAGCCTGAGCCTGAGCCTGACCTGAGCCTGACCTGAGCCTGACCTGAGCCTGAACCTGAGCCTGACCTGAGCCTGACCTGAGCCTGAGCCTGAGCCTGAGCCTGAGCCTGAGCCTGAGCCTGAGCCTGAGCCTGACCTGAGCCTGTGCCATCAGCTTGCCAGGCATCCAGCAGTGAGACTGTCTCCCCTTCACTCTGGCAAAGAGGACTTTACCATCTCCCTTCCTGGAGTGGGAACCCATCTTTGGGAATTCACCCAGTGCTTTTCTTTTGTGTATTTCAATAACATTTCTCTTGCTTAGATCTGCTGACTTCTTTTTTGCATGGGCTGCTGGCCTCCTACATGCCGGTTCACAGGACAGACAGAAACAATGTTTGTAGTAGCCCAAAATGGAAACAACAGTTTGTTAATTGAGGAGTAGAGAAGAGCTGCTCTGTGGATACAGTGTTCTCCTTAGTGTTCATGCCAGAACATCAGCAAACCCCAGAAACACACTTGCTAAAAGAAGTGACAGAGGAGGTCCAAGGCAAGTGGACAAATGTCACAGGCTGCATGGGAGATTAGTCAGGCCTGGCCTGGTGATAGAGTTCTGTAATTTTCAATGCTTGTGAGGCTATGGCCTAGACTGCTGAGAAAGTTCAATGAAAAGTAAGAAGATCCGCTGGAGAGGTGACTCAGTAGTTTAGATAAAGTTCTGGCTTCTCTTCCAGAAGACTTGAGTTAGATTCTGAGCACCCACATGGTGGCTCACCATCGCCTATAACTCTAGTTCCAGGGAATTCATTGCAGTGTTCTGGCAGAATTCTGGGCACCAGGTACACTCATGATACACAGACATGCATGCAAGTAAATCTCCCATACAAATAAGATAAATAAAGTGAAATTGAAAGACACAGACAAGAAAGAAAAGTGAAAGGAACGCTGGGGCATAGGTTAGTGGTAGTGCCTGTCCAGATTTCCCAGGGCCTGGGGTCAGCATCAGTACCACAAAGCACATGCTCCCGTACAGAAAGCAGCCATGCGAGGACCTGAAAGGCCAGCAAAGATGGAGTATCAGAACGGCGGCGGCAGGCAGAGCTGAAGAATTCAGAGAGCTTGCACGGGGTTTTCAGGTCAATGTGATGGTTTGGAGGCCCTTCCTATAAACAGCACGCATCCTCACCATGGATGGTAGGAAATAAAGCAGCAGTTTAGCAGACAGGGGTCACTATTTCTTGGGTCACCATGACGCTAGGACAAATACAAGGCACAGCTTAGCTGAGAGTGGAATGAGCCTGATGATTTCTAACTGCAGCAATTGTCCCTGGTCCAAATTTTGGAACAGAGTCTGTTTCCAGAGCCAAGGCCCAGCAAGCATCCACACAGCTGCTGCCCGCTCTCCAGGGGGAACTGTGTGCTCTCTTGTCCACTGACTCTGGCACACTGGCTCCCAATCCAGCCAACTCACAGCTCAAGACATTTTGCTTGGATTTCAAAAATTGTACTGAGTTCATATATTACCCAAAGTAAATTGAAGTAGTGATGCATGGCAGCTCATATCTGGAATCCCAGAACTTGGAAGGCCGAGGCAGGATGATCACAAGTTTGAGGCCAGCCTGGGTTACATATATGTCAAAGACTGCTTCAAAATAAATAGCAATAAGAAAAATTTTAATAGAAACAGCAGAGGCCACTTACTCCTCAGTGCCTCATGCATCTGGAACTTGTGGTTGGCTGCATGATACCAGATGATCTCAGCACCATCTTCTGTTGTGATCTGACTGTTTCTAAGAAAATAATCCAGTATATTTTCACTCCAGGACCCTAAAAATAACAATATTTACATGAAAAAGAATGTTGTTTTTGATGGGGTATATATAGTTTCTATCCTGAGGTAAATAAACTTGGCCATCATTTCCCCAGTGACCATTTTTAAGTTTTGATGTTAGTGTGTTTGTGTGTGCATGTTGATGAATGTGTGTGCACAGAAGAGCAGCTAAAATCTCATTAGCACAAGTCTCACATATAGTAATTTCCATTCCCATACTCCCCTGGTGCCATTAGATCTCTAGATCTCTCATCCTGCATATCTGCTCTTTATCTTTGGGCCAACACTTCCTCATCTCTCCAGTGAATAGCCAATGTTGTGTTCTGTATTTCTATGTAGTTGAGAAATTTAAAATTCTACAAATAAGTGAAGTCAGCAATACATTTTCTTTCTGTGGCCGGCTTATTTCACTGAGCACAATAATATCTTCTAGGCTCACACATGTGGCTGCTGGCAAGGGCTTTGTTAGAGCAGAATGCTATTCTACTGGTAGCACATACCACATCTTCTTCACCCATTAGTCTCCCATGCCTTGGCTATTGTGAATAATGTTCACAGACATTCAATTACAAGGTAGTGGTTTCCACACAATGGGTATGTGCCACAGTGGAGGACTGCTGGGTTACAAGGTTAAAAAAAATGTTTTTATATAAAGGGGCAAAAGATATATTGAGAGAGAAAAGCCAAGCAATTAGAATAGGAAAAATAGATTTACAAAACAGAATATGTATTGTGACATGTAGGTCTTCAATACATGTAAACATGCATCATGCTATAATTAGCACCCATGTGGTGTGTTTTGGAGGTCAGAGGTGTAAAAAGCATGTAGGAAGAGAACAAAATTGCTAAGAAGCAGACACTTAAAAGCAGAAATTATACATTGTGTCCTGTAAAAACCTGGGTCCTCTGCAGAGAGACACAGCTGTATTGAAAAACTGAGTATGGTGTTCCCCATCCCACCCCACAGAGAAACCAAAGCCCTGAGGGTTGCAGTCAGTTTGCAGCCCCTTCAACAGCACGGATGGAGTCCATGTGTTTTTTCAAATCTGCCTTCAGACTGTGACCCTCTGGGCAGCCGAGTGCTGGAACTCAAGGTAGCAATCACAGGCTCAGCTGACATAGACAGATACAAGTAATGCACACATTGCCAATTGCTTCCAGCATACCAGGCTCTCCTTTAATCTCCCCTCTGAGCCCTGTTATTCAGTGCAGTGCCTTTCCACACTGAGTAAATAATATTCTGCCAAATGTTGGTTTTTAAAACTCTGCCTGGCAACCCTTAAAAGCCTAAAAACCGCTATTGCACATTGCCAGCAAAATATTAGGAAAAGTCGAGGCTTGGTGGTTAACAGCTGCTGTTCTTTCAGAGGACCCAGGTTTGACTCCCAGCACCAACATGAATGTTCACAATCTTCTGTTAACTCCAATTCCTAGTGACCCAACTCCCTCTTCTACCTTCCAAGGGCATTGCACACATGTGAAGCACAGGCTCACATGCAAAGAAACATACACATTAAGTAAAAGCCAATAAATCTTTAATATCTACACATTAGGAAAAGCAATCTTTGTTCAGAAAATAGGACAGACCTCTTTGATTCTGAACCACCTCTACTCATTCTGATCCAAGTAAATGTACCTTCCATAAACATGTGGGTTTCATTAAGATTTATTTATTTTCTGTGCCTGAGTACTTTGTATATATGTATGTCCACAATGTTTGCCTACTGTCTGCAGAGGCCAGAAACCGGCATTAGATTCTGGAATTGGAGTCACAGTTAGTTGTGAACTGTCATGTGGGTGCTGGAAACTGAACCCAAGTCCTCTGCAAGAACAGCCAGTACTGTCTTTCCAGTCCCAGCATGTGAATTTTTTACATACCAAATTATAAACCACTCCTTTGGTCAGAAAACAGAGGGTTATAAAGACAGCATCAGCCATCGCTTAGCAAGCACTCTGGAAAAAGGAAGAGGGTTGGTTGAAGAGCCCACTGCTCCCTTTCGGCCCCCATTGCTCCTCATGACCCCCCACTGTCCCAAGGGTCTCCCCACTGCCCCCAGCAGGGGCTCTGTTTGCAAATGCAAGAGTATATATGAACATCACTTTTTAAATATTCAAGTTAGTCATTTTAGAAGGCATATTAATTCTTAGTTATGACAAATACCAAATAAGAAGAAAGCGATTAAATCACAGTATACATTCATGATAGAAAACATAATAGATGTAGCTTTGAACACTTGACTTCTACAGCTCAGAAGCCCAAGACAGGAAGATTATGAGTTCAACCCAACCTAGACTACACAGGCAGACTCTGCTTAAAATGAGGTGAGGAGGGGCAGAGAGAGAGACCAAATGACTTTGCAAATTGGTCATTCTTTCCTGACACATCAGTTGCCAGAACAAACTTAGATATTAGGTTTTGCAATGGCACCTTCCAGCTGTGTTTATATTGCATTTGGAGTTTTTATAAAGGCACCTTATAAATTAGTAACAAAACACAATGATGCAGGATTTTTAAGCCAAATATTTACTTTGGGTAGATTGCTATTCTGTTCTTAGTGACTTACCACGGGATTATGTCCAGACACACTAATTGTTGGGTTAAAATACCCTAACTCAAAATACATTCAACACACCTACTCAGTTCATTTTAAAATGTTTGGAACATGTAAATTTGGTCTCTTTGAAGTGACCAAGACAATTTTTAAAAGAAAGCATTAATTGGTGACTGGCTGACAGTGTCAGAGGGTGAGTCCATGACCCTCACAGCACAGAGCATGGCAGCTGGAGCAGTAGCTAAGGGCATATATTGTATTTGAAAGTTGAGGCCCAAACAGTTCAGCAACTAGGGACCAAGCACTGGAAGACAGGAGCCCACGGGGGCCATTCTCATATCTGTCCTTTGACTGAGAAATTCTACTTCTTTGGATTTATTGCATAGACAGATAAGCTCATTTGGGAGAACAGATTCCATTCAAGACATTTAATGAACTGTTTGTAATAGCAAAAGAGTAAAACTTCAAATGTCTATCAGCACTAAATATGGACCATTCTGTAGCCCATAAAGCAACTATATACATACCATAGGATCTCAGAGACAGAGTTAGGAGCAATGGTGCAGGCGGAGTAATGGGTACCTGCCAATATATTACACAGCTAAGAAGGAATTAAGGCTGCCAGTCAGATGCCTTCAGCATCTTTGCAAACTCAGGACTTCTCTTTTAGATTTCTTGTGAGGGCATGAGATATTTTAGTTCCAAATGGCATTAGGGTTCCTAATCAGATGACTCTGAAATAGGAGGGTGTTTGAGTGCACAAACTTCAACAACAAGGTCCTTATAAGTCTAGAAGGAAAAAGGCCAGTAAAGTTGAGGTGATGTAGTGAGAGGAACTCAAGTAGACATTGCTGGCTTGAGAAATGCAGGAAGAGATCCAAGGGGCCAGTTGTTCCCTTTGTATCAGAAACTAAGGCACCAGGGCCTTCTCCACACTTGTGCATTAAGGGTCTGCATCCTCAAAAGACACATTGTCATTATGCCATAATGTGGTGCGCCTGTGTGTGCATGTGCACGTGAGGAACGCAGGGCAACCTCAGATGTCATCCTTGAGATGTCTCCAGCGTGTGTTTTGAGAAAGGGAGCTTTGCTGGCCTGGGGAGCACCAGATAGACAAGTCTGGCTGGCTTGCTCGCTACCCCCGGGTTCCATTTGTTTCCACCTCCCCAGAGTGGCCTGTACCAGGGTTGCTGATATGTTCTGTGGATGGGAGTCTGGTCCTCGTGCTTGCAAAGTAAGCACTTTATCAAACGAACTCTCTCCAGCACCTCCATTGTGATTTTGACACCCCTCTCTCTTTTGTGGGGATCATGGAATGAAACACCAAAGAGATAACAGGTCCGCTATGGTTTGGAAGGGGGAAAAGGGTCACCTTACTCCATAAATATGCACTATAGTCACAAAAACTTCCTTAAAACCCACAGTACCAAACCAGAGGGAGGCTTCCGGCCTTGAGGCAACCCACTCCATTTCCTCTTTGGAGTTTAACAAAAACAAAATGGAAACAGAGTTAGAGGGAGGTGTGGTTGGATCCGAGAGAAGGGGGGAGGGGCAAGGGTGAATATAACCAAAATGCACTGTATAAAAATCAAAGGGTTAATACAAAACAATATTTAACCTATGTATGTATGTATGTTAAAAGAGGAAGGTAAAAAGATGGTAGTACATGTCTCGGGAAGGACTCACCAAGGAACCAACAGCAGAAGCCTGAGGGGAATATGGGTAGAAAGTCAGGGAGCATAGCCCTTCCTGGACCATTCTGAAAGGAATGAATTTTCAGTTTGTACTTGAAACAACCGGGTTACCCTAAATCGTTTCTAATCAATCCACTCCGGTCTATGTAAAATCTGCCACCATGCCTTCTCCACGCCTTCAGCTTACTTGAACATTCCACACCTAGCAGACACCCGCATGGAACCGGAATGCCAGAACCTGGGAAGGAGTGGGCGGCGCCCGCCCAGCCCTCGGTACTTACCCGGGCCCCCAATGCATGCTGCCATGGTGATGGACGGACGCCGCTGATCGCGCAGGCGCTAAGGTTTGGCACGCACCAGGGTTGTCTGGGGTGGCGGAAGCCAGATGACCGGAACCTCGGCGCCACAACGGAATTGGTGCGCACGCGCATTGCAGCAGCTGGGCTGGCGGGGCGCCACCTCTCAACTGTGGAGGTGCAGTTGCATTGCTGAGCCACTTGTCCCAGCAGGCTGCTGGCTGCAAAGCTAGACCCATCATCTGACAACTAAGGAGGAAGCGGTTCTTGCCCATCCTTCAGATGATAGTGACTTCAAGTCACTCTGACTCGAGTGGCCATTATCTTCAGCCTCAGCCATACCTCCATAGTGTCTTTCCAGCCCATCCAGGATTGTCACAGAAAACACTAGTTAGCCCCATAGTTTTGTTTTCTGTCCGTATTTTCGCATTTAAATTTAGTTTACTTTTTTACACTTCTTTGCGAAAAGCACAAACCACTCCTCTCTCACCTCGAGTTTACTATAGATTCAACTATGAGTGCCTGTGGTCCAAGAACACCAAGTCATTTGCCCCAAATATATTTGCGCATTTTCATGGACTTTTTGCTGTTTAAGTTTCCAAATACTTTGATGGAAACATCAGGTGCGCAGTTTACAGCAAATGAGCTCATCTCACTTTACATTCTCAGGGTTCAGTTGCTATCTGAAGGTTCTTAGCTTTTAGGCTGGTAGAAGTTAGTGTTGTGCTGTTAACACGCTCCAAAAGGTTTCACTTAGTTCCAAAGATGCCAGGGCAAAAGTGGGCAATGCTATTAAGGGAGCTAAAAATAGTGTGAGACGGTTTGACCCTGGATCTTCAACATTCCAGCGCTCCACAATCAGGAATTCTAATTTCAGCCTTGCAGAATCTTTTTAACATAGCTGTGGCTTCTCCACCCCTTAATTTTACTTAACACATCTACTCTATGAGTCTGTCTTTATTTATTCTTTGTTGTTGAAATACAGTTTCCTTGTGCAGCTTGGCTGAGACCAACAGGATTTTTACACTTTTCCTGATGGTCAGTATTTTTATAATTTTCCAGGTACCTGGTGGCTCATTCAAAATGTGGGTTTTTGTTTCCCCCCCCCCCCAGATGATATAGGTAATCCCAAATTTAGATATTCCCCTTAGGTTTTCACACCTGTGGTTTGTCACCCAAATAAAGGTGAACCCCTGTGAGTGTGCCTACTCAAGCAAGGGCCTTTAGTTATATGTAGAATCTTATGTGGAGCCTGACATCTGATTTCTGTCCCCACACTTATGGGTAGCTGTCCCAATAGGCACCTACTAGCTTTTATCTTGTAACTGGGCATCCCTTCTTAAATTGAGATGCTTTAGGATGAAGTTGCATTTTAATCAGCTTTGATTGTTTTCAGCACAAACACGGATCAACACAGCTTCTGGGATTTGAATATGTGTATGTATGCTCTTTGACCTTAGCACATACTACTTGGGGCAAGGACTCCATCAATCTTGAAATGTCTAATTTTACCAGAAAACTTTTTAGCTCTTTTTATTGATTGCTAAAATCATTAGTATGTGCCGTTCATTTAATTGTAATTGCTACTGAGAACAAGTCACCACAAAGCTAAGCTTAAAGCAAGAGTCTGGTTTTCCCTGTGAGTCAGGATCAACAACTTCAGAGGGCGGGGCCCAACTTCATAGGGCGGGGCTCTGAAAGCGAGGGCGAATTCAAGCTGCTCCTGAGGCTGGTTTAAAGGCTGGGCTGGGGTTCGATCCACTTTCCATTCAGGCTGTGCTGTCAGGAAGCTTCAGTTCCTCATCAAGTAGGTGTGTCTGTGCAGTAATCGAAGCCTGCAACTGCTTTCCCCAACACTAAGTACTGGACGGGACAGCGATTTTCAGCACCTGGGTCGTGACCCTTTCACGGGGGTTGCATATTAATCAGATAACCTGCACATCAGGCATTTATTTACACTGTGATTCATAACAGCAGCAAAATTACAGTTAGGGAATGAAGTAGCAATGAAAAGAATTTTATGGATGGGGCCACAGCAATAGGAGTTGAGAGGCACTGGAATAGAAAGACAAACAAAGATAATGGAGAAAGGTGCGACGGCAGAGGGAAATACACAAGTCTTTTGGGTTTCCCTTCGGCCACATGTTGTCACCCAATGGGTAGCAGGGAACTGCCTTCCCTCCCTCATGCAGTTCCCTCCTACCCACTGAAAAGGTGGTTTGACCCCATAGAAGTTGTGACCCCAGGTTAAGACAGCTACTTAAGATTATTTTTAATCTTAAGCTAACAGAGGCTTAACACTATTTTTAAAGGACTTTATTGGAGTACCTGAATGGAGACTAATGAATGGATCAATTAAGAGGAAGAAGATAAATTTAGGTGGTAGGGCTTAGTGCCCAGCAGAAAAAAATATTCAAGTAAAAATAACCACGCAGGTGTGTAATAAAAGTGTTATGATGATGAAAATACTCCTAAGAATGCAGGCCAGATTTCTAAGAATTTTTGTTCCTTTCTGCGATTAAGATGCTTTTTACCAGTCACTGAGTGAAGTGTTCTAACAGAAGGAAAACTTCTGATCCTGAATACAAAGCTACACATCCCAAGTAAGCAATGAGGTAGAACTGTGCTGAATGTGCCACGCTTTGAGTAAGAAATGTCACTATGAAAAATGGTGTGGATGACCCCGGTAAAACTAAAAATTGTGAGTCACTAATCTTACCACTGGGTGTGTTTGTGAAGGGAGACACTGTCAAACAAGCAGCCGTGCCTTGTGCTTGTGCTCACGGTGGTGTTATTCACAAAAGCAAGACACGAAACCAACCTAAGATCCGTTGACACATGAATGGACAGGGAAAATGCCACACAGGCACATAATGATGTTCAGGGTGACACAGCAGTCATTTGTGACAAGGACGAAACTGACAGGTGTTAGGTGAAGAAACGTGGGTACGGGAGAAGCAATGCTGCATGACTTCAGGTCTGTGTGGAACCCGAGAGTGCAGAACACAGCAGCACACGCAGCACACGCAGCACACAAGCTGGGCTGAAGCGGACGAGCTGGTACAGCGGAAGGAGACACTGGGGAGATGTTGGTCAGGACACAAACTTCCCGGTAAGAGAAATAAATTCAAATGTTCTCTTGCACAACACAGAAACTCCAATAATCCCAATATATTGATGGCCATGAAGAAACAGAAAATAAGGCCACTGATGTTATGACCTCTGAACTCCAGATGGTCCACAAGAAAAGATGAGTGCCTGTTGATTGGCTGTGGTGGAAGAGCAGTGAAACAGCGGGGGGTGGGGGGGGGTGGGGGAGTGGGGGGGTGGGTGGGGGGGTGGGGGGGGAAATCAACACTGCTGAGTTTTCATGTTTCATTTGCTGAATGTTGCATAGTGTATACATTGTCCAACATCAGAAAGTCACTGAACAAACAAAACCTAGAATGAGTCAGAAGTTTCTGTTTTATTTCAAGACAGTCTTTTAAAACTTGAATCACATTATCAAAATTATTCTTCCTATCAAAAACCTTCTGTGCTTTAATTTATGAAACAATACAGAAGAAACCTAGGCTGCCAGGAATCTACACAACCATCTGTATAAGACTTATTATTCAATTATAAAGTGAAATATTCTGAGTGTTTCAGATTTCCAGCTCAAATGCCCACTATAATGCAAGCTCCTCCTTAGACATGGCCTCCTGCAGTGTGGCCCTGCACCCACTCAAGAGCCACCTCTCCACTGCATCAATTACAATGTTTCTATATGTTAATTATCTGTTCCATACATCTAGTTCCAAAAGAGAAAATGTAGCAAACACAGACACACAGGTTGTTCAATAGATGCATAAATCAAGATATATTTCACTTCATGGTTCAAAACGCAGAGAAACCGAGTTGTGTTAAGTCTTAAGACAATAAGCAGATGCTGGAGACTGACTATAAGGAGCCACCTGATTTCTTTACTAAAATTTCAAATAAGTGCCAATGTGAAGACTATGACCAAGCAAGCGGCAAATGCACTTAGAAAAATTCATCTCCAAAGAATGCTGGAAATGTGCCTCTAATATTTCGGCTAGAATTCCAATTTTCATTGGTTGTAGAAACTTTAAAAACAAATTCAAAGTTACTTCCATCACAGAAGAGCCTTCCACTATTTGGTAAATTCAATATTCATAAATTGTGCAGTTATACTATAAAGGAAGTATACAATATACTGAAAAATAAACACATGTAAAGAAAACAAAATGAGCTTGATAAGTAGCCATCTTTATATTAACTTTATATCATTTCGATAAATGTTCTGAGTTATATGCTGCCATTTTATTTACTATCTGTAACACTGCATTGTTTATGGATATTATCTTCAAATATGCCTTTGGCTGGTCCAAGTATTCCAAGATAAGCTCTGGTCCTAAGACCTTAGCTCCTGAGTTACAGACATGACTGGATCTCTAAGTTGCAATGCTTTATAAATATCCTTCTTAAAACAGTTCTGTTTAGTGTGGTTTCTTTTCTTGATATATACAGTGAGTGTTTCTGATACAAAAAATATAATCCACATAATAAAAAAGGCATCAAAACAATGATTACATTTTATATAAGTTAAATGACACACTTTTTCTTTCTCCTGCTGTTTGAATTAAAGAAGAAGGCTCTATCACAACCTTTAACTTTATGTTAAATATTCCATTATAAAAATAATTGCCATAGAAAGAATTAAAAATATGCAAAAATAACAAGTTTGTTAAAATTTATACTTCATACAACGGGTTCAATCAGGACATTCCTAAGGATTGACATGGAGTAATAGAAACCTGTCTCAGGCTTCCATTATTGCTACACAGTGACTACTTCCCGGGTCATCTGGCCTGTCATCATCTAAAGAGTGTCAAATATAGTGGTGTACTTTGTAAAGAAGGAGAAAGCAAATGCACCATGATACAAAAATATTACCTATTTATATATTAGCAAAAATTTATAAAACACATTTCAAATCATGTTGCTATGGAAACAACAGACTTAATAGAGACGCACAAAGTCCTGAAGCACCCACAATTATTTTAATCAGGAAAATTTTATATATATATATATATATATATATATATGTATAAAATATATATATACATATATATATGTATATATATGTATAGTAATTTGAGAAGAAATAAAGGCAAAATTCTAAGTTTAAACAAACAGTTTATCTAATCATGGAGGTAAGTCTCCATTCCATTTATACAAATAAGTTATCAGCTTTTGTCAAAGAAACAGAAGTCTAGAGTCTTGAAACTGGTCTTCACTACTGCAATACATTTTAAAGACTTTGAAACCAGTATTCTCACAAGCATATTCACAAAACAAGTGTCTCCTTCATTAAAATCATTCTTGGCATAAGGAGGTATAACTAAGTGCAGATACTTTGGCTTGACATTTAAGTTACACAGTAAATACTATAAATTTTAAGTTAGAAGAACTATTTTTTCTTCTTAGTTCTTATAATAAACATAAAGCTATAAAATGGTGGATTCCTTAAATTTTTAGATATTTAAATATTGTGCTAATGATTCTGAAAAATCATTCCTGCCTAAAAAGCAAAATTATATATTTCCATTATCAAACATTTAGTGTTCGTAACATTTCAGTTTTAGTGATGGGATTCATTTTAACAGATGAGTTTGCAACATACACTTTCTTTCACTCAAAAAGGTTTTCTAAAATGGAAAATGCTAACTCTATTTGTAAGGGCACACTAGAGCTTGAGGTCCCACCGTGGATCACAGGTAGCAGCGCACTATCGAGCTCATTTAGGTAATGCTGAGGCAGAAGTTGTCCTTCACAGCCTGCCTGAAATTCAACCTGGAAAAAAGAAATCTTGATAAGGTAACCCTAGAAAATTAGGCCTCTTGTGCTGCTCAGCAGATGAATATATAGAATATTTGAATATTCAACATAAGGATGTTAGTAAAATAATGTTATTTTCAAAAGTATATTCTCGCATTTCTCTTATCTTTCCACTACATAAATTATAACATGTATTATAAATATTGTCACTGCTTTATACTTTAGATTTCAATTGAATACATAAGTAAAAAAAAAATCAGATTTTTTTTTTAATAATTAGAAATGCAGCTTAGATTGAATTAAAAATGAACTGAAAAATCAATTTAGGACAGGCAGTGGTGGCACACACCTTTAATCCCAGCACTTGGGAGGCAGAGGCAAGCAGATCTCTGTGAGTTCGAGGTTAGCCTGGTCTATAAGAGCTAGTTCCAGGACAGCTTCCAAAGCTACAGAGAAACCCTGTCTCAAAAACAAAAACAAAACAAAAAAAAAAAAAAAAAAAAAAAAAAAAAAAAAAAAAAAAAAGAAAGAAAGAAAGAAAGAATACTCAATTTAGTGTATTTCAAACTGTTACAATACTATGTTTGTGTGAGGTGTATGTGCGACTGTGTCTTTGTAGTTGTGTCTGTATGCAGTTGTGCAGCTGTATTCACCTGTGTGGGCACAAGTGAATCCAGAGGTTGGCTTTGGGTATTTTCCACTATGGTTCTCTGCTTTATTTATACAGTGTCTCTCAATGTTCCAGCTACACTGACTAACAGCAAGCCTCTGGATCTTCGTGTTTCTGTCCCCACAACACTAGGGTTAAAGGCTTGCACCATCACACCCAGTACTGATGTAGGTGCTGGGGTCCAGACTCATGCTTTATTACCTACTGAGCCATCTCCCAGGCCCTGCAACACTATTTAAGAGTTGCTGGTTGTTGGAGGCATATGCCTTTAATCCCAGCACTCAGGAGGCAGAGGCATGCAGATCTGGATGAATTCAAGGCCAGCCTGGTCTATAAGAGCTAGTTCCAGGACAGGCTCCAAAGCAATACAGAGAAACCCTGTCTCTAAAAACAAAACAAAACAAAACAAAACAAAAAAAAAGAGTTAATGTTACTGATGAATTGCATTTTATATATTTAACTATACAACGAAACAGTGTTTACTCAACCAACACTCATTGGAAGTTTCCTTGAAAAGGGTCTTACAATAAAGTAATGAAAACAAAACTCTTTCCAGTAGGAAGCTTGAGTATAACACACCTGGCTGAAAAACAAACTAACATATGAACCCCTGTTTAGAAAACCAGATTCTAAGGAAGAAACTTCCTTGAAAATCTCTACTGAATGTTCCAGCAAGAGTTACAAAATAAATATACCCAAGCAGAAACACACTAAGACATTCTGGATGAAAATAAATGGCTTTTCCCATGTAAGAAGAGCACTGTTCATTGCCAGTAGAGATGCATAGTAAGGTAACAGTGGGTGTCATATTGCACCTATCAAACTGTCAAAGTTCAAATGTTCCATTGGGCTTGAGACATAACATAGCGATATAGCACTTGCCTAGCAAGCACAAGGCCCTGGATTTGATTACACACTGAGAACTGTCAGAAAACGTGGAAACAGGCCTGTAACCCAGCTACTCAGGAGAGAAGGCAAGGGGGTCACAGGAGCAAGGTTTACCTGGGCTACAGGGTGAGGCCAAGGTCACTCTGCCTGAAATAAAAAACCAAGGGCTAGAAAAAAAACAGCTCTAAGATGGCCATCTGCCTTACATATAGGGGACCTGGGTCCAAGATCTCAGTGCCTACTTGGGGCAGTACGCTAAGTGCATACTTGGATCTGGACTCATTTTACGGTTATATTTATGCAAAAGCAAAGTACTGTCAAAGGTAATTACAATCAAAATATATCAAATAATATCTAATTAATTGCTGTCCACTTATTTAATCAAATATGACTACTATACAACCATTAAAAAGGGCTGGAGAACTAGCTCAGTGGTTAAGAGCACTGGTTGCTCTTCTACAGGTCCTGAATTCAATTCCCAGCAACAACATGGCTCTGATGCCCTCTTCTGGCATAATGGCATACATGCAAATAGAGTATTCATATACATTAAATCTTTAAAAAAGCATTACTAATATATAATCTTTGATATATTGAAAAGTATGGCAAATAAAACATTTTGAAGAGGAATGATAAAGGTTTTTATTACACATACACACTTGATTGTACATACATACAATCACAAAAAAATAGGTAATACTAATTGCAATAATTAAGGAGAGTCTGGGCACGAAGGAGTGTTTGGAAGGATAGAAAGAGATCTTTGCAGAGCTATGGCCTATCTCTGCTGGGACGCATCTACTTTGTAGTCTAGAGTTGACATTTCCAAGGCCCACAAAGTCCATGTTATACAAAATGACTGCTGTTCCTTGGAAACATTTAATGAAATGGTGTTTGAGTGCATGTGTATACTTTCAGATTTTTTAAATTTTGAGACATGTAAATTTAATCAGAATAAATCTCAAAGCCTATGAAAAAGAAAATTACAGATCTGCAGTCCACCATGTTGAATGAAAAGGATTGCACTGGCTCACGGCCACTCCCAGTCGGCCACAGTAGCAGCTTCTCACTATAAGAGATGGATTGTGGGGGAAACTCTACAACCTGCGATGCCAAAGACAGTCACTCTCTGACTTCAGTTAGAGAGTAGCAGAGGCAACACATGTGAAGGATGCGACAACTTGTGGCTTAGGGCTGCGAGGGCAGCACAGCACAGTGGTAGAACACTCACCTAGTGGTAAGGCCTTGGGTTCCATTGCCAGCACCACAAAATACAAACAAACAAAAAACCCATCAACAACAAAAACAGGAGACTCCCTTTTCTCCAAAGGTTGGGTATTTTAACATAATTCATATCACTTTCAGGACTATCAAGTACAGCCCTTGCGGACAAGCCTGAAAATGTGAGCTTAGTCCCTACAACTCACATGACAGGAGAGAGCTGACTTCCACACATGCGCACAGCACACATGCCCCACAGAAAAGCATGTTTATACATGTCTTACCATATCAGTGTCGACGGAAACTCTGAGTCCAATTCTGTTCATTCTGTTACTCTTCAGAGTTCTCAGGTGAGGGCATAGGGCGGCACTACAAGCCATGGCTATTTCTTTTGCAAACTGGTAACTAGCTGATAAAACAGATGCATCTTGGTCCTTTAGGAAGTAGAACACCTGAAAAGAGTTAAATTAAAAAAGAAGTCATGATTATGATTATGAAGGCAACAATTATTGCTTTCAAGTCAACTTTAATAAAATTCCAACATCAGATCTTCAAAATCACTGGCTGAGAGCATTCTGTACCTACAGCCTGGATCTGTATGATAAATAAAAATCTAAAACCAGAGATTACGGATTATGGGAATGGCTGGGCTATTTCTGTCCAAAGTTGACTTGTATCACATCTGTGTGGAATTAGATCAGACAAAGAAACAATGCTCTGTGACTGCTACATCCTCTACAGTCTGTCCGTTCTGCACATGTGAGGTCACAAAGACGACATAGGAAAGACAGACGTGGAACTGCCAGGCTGCAGCCTCACAGTCTCTTAAAAAACGTCAATGTGCAAAAACGGTTTACACATGAGTGCCAATTATAAGCTGGTGTCAATAAAATCTTTTACTGTAACATAAAAAAATAATAAAGTAAAATAACAGTATAAAATGGCAATTTTTCAAAATGTAACTATTAGCTGTCAGGAAGTACTATCAAGATGAAGGCTTAAATAAGTGTATGTAAATTCAAATCTGGGATGGGGAAGATTCTGGATGGGAAGGTACAATAAGCTAATCCTAAATATCCATTCGGCTGAGTATGGTATTCTCTCTCTCTCTCTCTCTCTCTCTCTCTCTCTCTCTCTCTCTCTCTCTCTCCTACGCATGCACATGCATGCACACTCACAAAGACTATCCTAAATACAGCATGTGAAGGAAAGACATCTTTCTCTATACCTCAGTGCATTTCACAGTCTTGTCTTCAGTTTCAAAATCTGTTTCCAGTTTAATTTTTTCACTTGGAAATCCTTCTAATGATATTCCATCTATTGCACTGACAACACTACGTAATAAAGAGGAATACAATACAGTTAGTATAACAGTGCTTTCTGTAAAATTATTAAACTTGGAAAATGAGACGAGAAAGTCAAAGTTTTACATTTAAATCAACAACAAATATCTCAATTATATATAAATAATTACTAGTCATGATTCCTTGATTATATAATAATCTTTTATTTAGTAAATTATATCTCCTTTTTCATATGTCCAATTCAGACCCAGGTTTAAAAGGCTTTAGTTTATTAACAGAAAAGTATCTTACAAATTCAGAACTGTTTTCTGGGGTTGAAGTTATAGCTCACTGTCAGAGTGCCTACCCTGCATGCAGACAGCTCTGGGTTTGATCCCCAGCACCACAAACCTTCAACCCTAGCACTGAAGAGGTCAAAGCAAGACAATTTAAAGTTTAAGGCCATCCTGGGCCACATATTGAGTTCAAGTCCAGCCTGGGCTACACGGCGAGATCTTAATCTTATTTCAAAAGTCTATTTTGGAATCCTTTTCTTCTTTCTTCTAGATTCCTTAACCCATCTCCAGAAACGAGAGAGTGTGGACAACTGAAAAGAAGGACTTAGCAGTGCTGACTGGTAAGGCCTCTAACACACGTACTATTAATTCTAGCTAACACTTATAAGGAATTAACAGAATTCAATAATCAAAAGGAAATCCTTATTTACTTGACAAAAATGTGTACCATATATTAGAAAAGACATTTTGCCTTTTCTTAGCCCTGGTAGAAAACCACCTAACTGATATTTTAAAATCAACATTCATTATAGCTCCCTGCCCAAGAAAACTTAGGAATCTGGTTAGTTACATGTTTGAGAAAAATACTGTATTAACTGGAAAAGAAACATTAAAATTAATGCATAATTCTGTACTCATTCAAAAAATATCTCATGTAGTGAAAGAATGTTTTTATCCTTCTCCTTCTCCTTGCATCAAGTAACAAGAAATTCCTACCCTTTATTCTTCTTTTCTTCCGAATCCACCCAACAGATGTCCACATACTCTCTTAGGTCTACTGCATCAACTTTCCCGCAAGGAATCTTAAAGTCCTTTTGCTCTCGTAAAGCCAGCCGTAAGCCATCCATGGTCTCTGGAGTTATTTGTACCATTAAGCCATCTAGAAATGAGAGTTATACTTCATACTGAGTTTGCCAAATTTAACTATGTGTGCCAAGTAACAGAATTTATTATTAAAACATGTTTGGTACAAGATACAAGTTTTAAATATCCTCTGCTAACCATTTAAATGTTTGTTTTTCCCTAGGAAAATAAAACTATTTCGTAAAGTTGAGAATTATTTTTAAGGTTATGCAAAGACAGTGAGTTATTCTCCTTACTAACAGCACAGCAAAAATGCCATACACCCTAGTTAATTAGGATTTATCCTAGATGAAAAGATGATCTGGCATATACAAATCAAACACCACTTCAACTTAAGGACAAAAACCATGTATCAATCACCTCGCAGGAAAAAACACCGGATAGAATTCAACATTCATTCATGAAAAAAAAAAAAAAAAAAAAAAAAAAAGAAAAAGAAAAAAAGAAAAGCAACCTCAACAAATTAGGTTTAGAAGGAATATACCTTAAAACAAAAACTGCAATATAGGATAAACCCATGGGTTACAACACAATAAAAGGGTTTTTGAAAAGCTGAGACCATTTCCTTTAAGATCAGGAACAAAACAAGGATGGCCCTTTTACTCTTAACACACTACTGTAGTTGGCCAGACACTACGTTGGGAGGAAGCAAGAAAGGGCATTCAAACAGGGAAGAGGAAGTCAAATCATTCCTGTTCACAAATTGTATGAGTCTAGCAAAAATCAGTTAAAACTGATTTTGAAAGCAAAATCAAGTTACAAAATAAACAGCAAGCTTATATACATAACAAGCATGCTTACAAAGAAATCCAGATAGCAATTTCTCTCATAACAGCAAAAATTGGAAAAAACTTAATGGAGGAAGCAGATGATTTCTACAGTGAAAATGACAACAATGAAAGACTTGGCACAGGGAAGTGGAGACGTGGCCATGTTTGTGAATTAGAAGGACTGATACAGTCAAAACACTGATGTTATCCAGAACAATCACATATTCAAAATAATCTCCATCTAAATGCCAAGGCATCCTTCACCAAGGGAAACAAATTCCCAACCCTAAGACTCCCAGGAAAGCAGAAAAGACCCAGAATAACAAAAAGCCATCACCCTTGAGAAGGGAGGCTGAGGTATCTTACTACCTCATCACTCTCCACACACTATGAAGCTATAGTAATCTGAACAGCACAATATGAACATCAACGACCACACACACACACACACACACACACACACACACACACACACACTCACTCACTCACTCACTCACTCACACACACCACCCAACAGAGCAAAATAGAAAACTCAAAATTCACCATTTAAGCCAGTTGATTTTCAACAATGGGGGCCAAAATAGTCACTGTAGAAAAGACAAAGGTCTCAATAAATGGTGCTATAAAATGATTATCCACCCAGCACAAAGAAGAATGAATACTAAGACCCTATCTCTCACCATGTACAAAATCTCCTCAAATGAACCAAAGGCCAGGTACAAGACAAAGTTACTGGAATAAAACACAGGGAAAATTTAAAACATATGCATAGATGGAACTTTCTCTCTCTTTGCATTTCTTGTAAGAAATACAAAGGGTGTGGGGGCACATGCCTGTAACACTAATATTCAGGGGAAGAAAGTCCCAGCGCTCTGGAGGCAGATGTGGGGGGGGAAATAACAGGCTTAAGGCTAGTCTGAACTACAGACTGAGACTTTGGCTAATAATTTCACAGATGTTTTGAAGACATTTCTTTAAAGAACTTTTACAAATGTCCAAGAAATATATGGGGGAAAAATTAGCAACACTACAGTGAAATGCAAATCAAAACCACCACATTTTCTCATTCTGGTCAGAATGTCTATAATAAAAAACAATAAAACAAAAGCTGTGGGAACCAGAGAGACGGCTCAGGAGTTAGAGTGATGGGAGATGCCATTATGTATATATGTTTCTCATACTGGTTAATAATAAAGCACTGTTGGCCAATAGGAAAGGAAGATAGGAGGGACTAGGAGACAAGGAGGAAATAGGAAGTAGGAAGGAGGAGTCAAGATGGAGAGTCTGGAGAGAGCTGGACGCCAGCCGCCTCCCCGGTAAGAGAAGGCCATGTGAAAATACATAGATCAGCAGAAATGGGTTAATAATTAAAGGCAGAGCTAGCCGATAAGAAACAAGTAACAGGGCCAACAGCATTGTATCAAATACAGAGTCTCTGTGTATTATTTGGGGCTGGCGCGGTAGCAGGACAAGACCGGGCGGCGGGCGGGAAAACAGTACTCGTTACATTAGAGTACTAGTTGTGTTCTTCCAGAGGACCCAGGTTCAAGTGCCAGCACCCACACGGCTGTTTAAAACCTCTGTAATCCAGTTCCAGGGTATCCTATGCCCTCTTCTGGCCTCCATGGCCACTATACATGAAAATAAGATGATAGTAAAGAGGCAGAGAAATGAGAATTTGTCCATCTACTTATGTATTTATTCTATTTATTTATTCACTTATTCACTTATTTTGTGGTACCGGGAATTGGCCAGGGCTTCAGCACATGCCAAGCCATTACTCTTAGCACTGAGCTACATTCCCAACTAGATAAAGGGAGACTCTATTTTGCTGACAGGAACGTAAATTAGTACAGTGTAAGAAGGCCTCAACAAGCCAAAATTATGACAAAACTATTCGCCTACTGGGTGTACCCCAAATGAAATTAAACAACTGACCAGAGATAAACTAGACATGATGGCTAAGGTCTGTGACCCAAGCACTCAGGAGGCACAGGCAGCAGGGTTGAGAATTTGAGCTCAGCAAGAGCTACACAGTGATCCCAGGCTAGCCTAAGATAGTAAGAGATCTGAATGTTCTCTGATGTTCCCCACAAAAGAAACAATAAAAACAAAGACAAAAAAAAGATACTTCCACATCCTCTTATTGTAATACTGTTGTTAACAGCCACAATATTAGATCAACCAAGGTGTTTATCAACAGAGGAATGAACAAGAATATAAAGACACAATGGAGTATTAGTCAGCAAGATGAAAAATAGCAATGTGGATGGAACTGGAGGTCAGATATTAGATTAAGTGCACAATCACAGAGAGACAAACATCACTTTGTTTCAGGCATACGCAGATAACATAATAAAAGAGTTATTTTCACATTAAAAAAAAGAATAAAGTAAAACAGAGGCTCCTAAAAGTTAGGAAGGGTAGAAGTAAGCCAGAAAAAAGACACCATAACACAGCTATACATCAAGAGTGTCGAACATTCACAAAGGCAACTAAAATTCATAATTTACACTAAAAAGAACTTGCAGAGGAATCTCAAGTCTGTCAACACAAAATAGCAAGGGTTTAAATAGAAACAGTAATTACCCTGATTTGACCATTATACATTCTATATATGTTCCAAATTATCAAAATGTCCTCTTCATAAATCAAAGCAATTATTATCTGTTAAACAGGAAAGAGGGGAACCTACAATATGTAACATTATAAACTACAAAGCAGTTTTAAAAGACAATCAATATAAAATAGGCAAAAGTTGTAAATGAGCATCTCACAAATAAAATATGTATTCTACAAATATGAAATAAGACATCCTATGTGGCATAAATAAGACACATGCTTATAAAATGATCATATTCAGAAACAACTAAAACATTGACAAAGTTAAGCAGACTAATAATACCATGTCTAGAGACTATGTAGACTAGAGAAGAGCTTGACAGCCTCATGCTAATAAGGAATGGTACAATCACTTTGCAAAACCATTTGGAAATATTCTGGGAAACTGAACATTTACCAATCTAACTGACTCAGGAATCCCAATCTCAGATATATATCAGCAATACTGTTTGTCATAATAAAAATAAGAAACAATCTAGAAGTTCATGGTCAGATGGACAAATAATCACATATTCACAAAATATTTAATAGTACCAAAGTTGAACAAGTTACAGTTGCAGAATATGCATAAACCAGAAACATAAACAATGTACATATGTATATATAACTCTGTTCTTAATAAGTATAACTAATGTATTCTGTAAACAAACTCATGTAAGGAAATAATACACACAGTAGTCATCAATCTAGTAGCTAACTCTTGAGGAGAGGAGGGAGAAGGCTTAAGTAGACCCAACACTGTCGTGCGCTAGTTCTTGGCTAGGAGATAATTTCACAAAAGTTTGTGATACTGTTCTTAACAACTTACACTGTTCTTTTGTAAGCATCAAATATATTTTTTGTTTGGTTGGTTGGTTTTGTTTTGTTTTCATTTGGTTTGGTTTTTTGAGGCAAGGTCTCACTATGTAGACCAGGCTGGCCTCTAACTCAGAAATCTACTCACCTCTGCCTACCATGGGCCACCACACCTGCAAATATATTTCTTAAAGGTAAAGGAAAAATAACTTTACATTAAGACAATCAAAGATAAAGGTCATACCTTCAACTATGCTGGACTTGGCAAGAAATCCTGAGGATGTTTTCAGAGCACCGTTGAATACCACGAAACTTGCTCCTGTCACTGATAATGAATACGTTATATTTTAATCTGTTCATCTTATGATATACTTATTCCTCAAAATGTCCAGCTTGTACAGTTTAAATATTCAATATATTTTATGCTCATAACACATTAGAAATAGAATAAAAACAGGATTAAAATATTTTATAAAATAGTTTATATCTAATGATGGACTACTATATAATTTAAAATGCTTGTGTTTTTGTTAATGATGGTGTCATGAGTCAAATTCACTGGAGGTGAACACAAAATGTAGAAGTCTCTATGGAGTCCCCATAGGACAAAGTTAAAAATGAATGAAACCTTAGGGGTAGGGGATGAAGTTAAAGTGTTTTCCTATACAAGCATCAGGACCACCGTTAAGATCCCTAGAACCCACGTAAATCCTGACTGAATGTGGTGGTCTGCCTGAATTCCAGCCTGGGACTCCTCAGACCAAGCTGGCTAGCAAGACGAACCATATCAACAAGCTCTGAGTTTTACTGGGAGACCCCAACTCAGTGAACAGAGTAGAAAAGCAATGGAAGATGATTCCCCAACTCAAACTCAGGTCTCCACATGTACACCTACATATGTGCACCTAAAGACATGCGAAAACACGCATGCGTATAAACATCAGCACCACACACACATAAAAAATAGAAAAAGCAAATATAACTTTTGACACTATTTTCACCTCTGGAACAAAAAAATGTATGCATTCAAGGTTATTCATAACAGCATTTTTAGAGGTATCTGAGGAATGGTAGTCACTTATGATAGTAAGAAGCAGTTAAATGATACATAATTACAAAATGGAAAATTACAGAGACATGAAAGTTCTTTACTAACATAGAATAATCTCCAGGAAGTGTTAATAACAACAAAGCAAGGGGCACAATGAAATGTTTTACAAGTTATCTGAAAAAGTGGGGGGAAGACATCTTGAGTGTATGCACACCCAAGCACTTGCTTGAATATATACATTACACAAACAAGTCTCTGGAGAGATATACAAGAAAGTATACTGGTTTGTTACTTTGTAAGAGGATGACTAGATGGTTGAGAGAATATCCTTTTCACCACAATATAAATACAAATAGCCTGAATCTTACCACATATATATGTCCCCATTAACAAATAAATACTTAAAAATAATACTTAAAACTTCCTAATTTTAGGGGCCATGAAGATGGGTCAGTCAGTATAGTTCTTGCTAGATAGGAATGTGAACATGAGTTCAGGTTCCCAGCCTTCAGGTAAAGATGGAATGTGGCGGCCACAACTGTAATCCCAGCACTGTGGAGGTGGAGAAAGGAAGATCCCAGGGGCGTGTTAGCAAGTGTTGTGGGATGTGTACACTGTGTGAAGGTTCAATGCTGTGACCGGTATAAAAAAAAAAAGCTGAATGCCCAATAAATAGCTAAGCAGGAGGTAGAGGCAAGGTTTCCAGGAAGATAAAGGGAGAAGAGGAGGAACCTAGGCAAGAAAGGGACACCAGGAGACACGGAGAGGAAACAGAAGGTGCAAGATGGAAGAGAGGCTGGCTGCTGATCAGAAACTAATACTATATATGGTGTCCAACGTGGGAATTGAATATCCTAACACAGGGTTTGAGAAGTTCTGGACATGGCTTCTTAGTCCCACAGTCTCTTAGGCAGGCTGATGCTTGTTGCATACAGAGGAGGAGCTCCTGACTGCTGCCTGTGGGCTTGAGCCAGCTGTCATGCCATGTGAACTGCACTGCTGGCAGACTGGCCCTTTAAGGCTTGGCTCAGGTGCTCAGAGAATGCTGCAGACCTGAGAAAGACAAGTCCATACACATATGCACATGCATACGCACAGAGTCTCACACACTCTAAAAATAATAGTTTAAAAATAAAAAGTATTTAAATAGAGAGTGAAGTAATATAAAAAAGAATGAAATATAATATATAGAGTGGACCTTTTATGGAACTTAGTTAATTTAAAAAAATTTAAACACTAACGAACAGAGAATGGCAGCTGCTGAGAGACACTGGGTTATAAAAGGAACTGGTAAATCAAACCAGCCTATATACCTTAGAGATGTCTTGGCTTCAGAATGGGGTTTTAAAAATGTGTTAGGTTGGGGTAGAGGCTGTGCTTTTGTTCCACATGACACACAAAGCTATTGATTCCTTCTAAGTTGACACAGATCAGATTTGCCCAGGGGAAACCTCCATAGAATCTTGGCTACAGACAAGAGGGAGAAAGACAGAAAGGACTACAAGACAGGTAATATGTATGCTGATCCCTCTGCACAGAAACATCTGAGACTGGATGAAACATAATAAATCTTGTTGGCTACAGAGTCCTCGTGACTTATTATTATTGCATGCCATCCTTTCATATGGAATGGTTAGAGATTTATATTACAGTTAGTTATGTAATCCAAATTGACTTATAAAGTTGACAGATGCCTTTTACCTACTCAAACATAAGACAGAAAATAATCTTCAACTGACTTGTGCACAGCACATATTCCATACTTGTGTTAATGCGGATGTTACCTTTAAAAGTTCAAGTTTTTAGAAAAAAAAAAAAAAAAGGAAAAAGAAAAAGACCAGACATCAATAAAGTAGCCCAGTGATCCAGCCTCTCAGAATGCCTCTGTTGCAGTTTCCTCAAAATTCTTCATCCAGAACAACTTCAAAGCTGCTAGCTGAGAAGTCCAGACTCAAAGACTCCAGTCAAGACTTCAGATAAGCTCCACACTTGCCAATCACACAGAGACTAAACAAAAACAATACAACTAGCTCTCACAGGACATGGCTATTGTCCCAATTTCCTTAGGGTCCTGTAAAGACACCACTGCCCTCAAACAACAGGAAACAATTTCAAGAATACAACACCCATATTCCCAAGAGGTGGGGTGGGTAGTTTTTGGTCATTAGGTGGATTATGAAAGTTTGTCATTGTGTAGAGGGGTGGTTGCAAGTTGTTACTGATCATGGGCAGGGGAAAAAAACTAAATAAAGCTTAGATTCAGAGATCTTGTTCTGAAAAGAAAAAAGGGGACACAGGAACAATAGGATAAAATGACAGATTACTACATCGACTTTTAAACTAAAAAGGCAACTACTAGTCTTAAACATTTCACATTGGTATGGATTTTTGTATACTGATACAAATTTAAGGTTATTTTTGTTTTACTGAATATATGTTTCTACTCTCTTTTAAGGTATGATACCTATACAGCTCATTACAAATATAATGTAAAGTCCTAGTCCATAAAGGCTATTATTACAAATGGTTTAAGATAATTAAGAAATGTAGGTCAGTAGTTAGTTATCAATAATCAAACTTGTCATGCTAGGTATGTTTTCAAGGTCAAACAGAGATATATTTTAGATAGACAGATATATTTTAGACAGATAGATGGTCTTCAAACACTTCAAAGACCTACAGAATATGACATTTAAAATGTTTTAATAACACAAGGCTTTTCATGACAGTGAGACACATCTGCTCCTGTCAGCGCCAATGTACTTCAGAGAAGATGATGGGCATCAAAGATACTCTTACATGAAGTTTGTTTACTGTATGGCAAAAGTTATCCAACTGGGCAAGAAACTGTCCTTGCCTCGACTATTGAAAGTATGGTGTCCAAACTGGACAAGAAACACAAAAGAAAGTGAGTACCAAACTTTGCCAAGACAAGGCAGGACAGTCCTTCAAATTTCTTGCTTCACAGAAATGTCTGTCAGATATTCTAGGCCTGTAAGCCAAAGATGGATGTTCTAATATTACAGAAAAACCTTGGGTGGCTATCCAGGCAGTCAGCTGTCTCTGTCTTTTCTATAGTTTTGGAAGTTTCTTGCCTGTTCTTCCTCTCAAATCAGGTAATATTATATCCTTCTTGGATCTTCAATGGGGTTAAAGACTAGATAGTTATAGTTATAGTTTTCCTTGATACCAAATCCAAAAAAAGAAATGTACATAAAAGCTGTAAAGTTTACATAGAAACTTAAGTTGTTTATATAAAAAGATGTTTTAAGGTCTAAAAATATATTTTTAGGATGGTAATACAACATGAGATTTAGTTCTGAAACTATGGACTCACTAAGATAGGATAGATAGTAAAGTGCTTTGTCTGAATTTACCAAATATAAATGGACTGGACATGGCTAATGTAATTCTTACCTGATAATTTTTCTTACTGTATATATTTTTACAGTGTTATCATTAAAACTTTTCCTTTTTATTTAGAAAAGAGGGGAAATGCTGTGGGATATTTGTACACTGTGTGAAGGTGCATTGCTGTGATTGGTGTAATAAAAAGCTGAACAGCCAATAGCCAGGTGGATGTAGATGCGAGATTTCCAGGGAAAAAAAGGAAGAGGAAGAAGAATCTAGGCACATAAGGGATGGCAGGAGACACTGAGAGGAAACAGAAATGCAAGATGAAAGACAGGCTGGAAGCCAAGAATTAAGTCTAAGTGAACTAGGAAGCTCAGCAAGACCCTAGTTAGAAAACTAAGATGGTGAGAGCTGAAAATATCTATGTCAATCTCTGACCTCCATGTGCATACATGTATATGCATCTGCATGTACACACACACACAAAGAGTTCTTAAATTTTAATGGCAAAAATGTCAGTTAATTGTAAGTAAAAAAGCAAAGTATTAAAGTATAAACATCAAGTATAAACAATGCATAAACTATTATTAAGAAACAGAAAATACAGTAAAATGTCAACAGTGGCCTTACTTTGTGTTCTCGTTCTCTCTCTCTCTCTCTCTCTCTCTCTCTGTGTGTGTGTGTGTGTGTGTGTGTGTGTGTGTGTGTGTGTGTGTTGTATGACACATATACCCTCTGAGTTCAGAAGAGGGCAGGGCATCAGATACCCTGCGCTAGAGCTACAGGAAGTTATAAGCAGCCTGATACAGAACAAAAGTGTGTCCCCTGCAAGAGCAGCACATGCTCTTAACTGATGAACTCTCTCTCTAGCCCTAAAAGATTAATTTTTATATTTAATTAGGTATACGTGGGGAGGCACATGAATGTAGTTGCCCACAGAGGCATCAGATCCCCTGGAGCTATAGTTACAGATAGCTGTGAGCTCAGGACTCTGCAAGAGAAGCAGCTACTCTTAACTACTGAGTCATCACTCCAGCCCCCACTTTTTCACTGATTTTCAAAACATTATCATTGCAACTGGAAAAAAGTTATTAGCAATGAGAGCATCAGGCTATTTTAATGCCATCCTGAAATAATGTGCTATCTTATGAACCACCTACGTTCACTGAACTTTAGTTTGCCAGGCCTTTCACCGAAGTCTGGTAATGGCAGCAGCCAGAGCTGAGGATAATGTCACAGGGGCTGCTCATTCCACCTTCCCTTTTCCCCAGCCTCTTAGCTTTGTAAGTCATCCTTCATCCTTGTCTGCCTTGTGCCCTCCCAAACAACAGGAGCTGAGCAGAGACTGAACAAATGTAAAAACATCCCATCCAAAGAGAAACTACAGAAAAGAAGATTCTCACACTATGGGATACATCTGGAATAGACTTCCAAATCTTTACATTTAATGTAGGCAGAAATAAAAGCACAAAACAGAAGCAATTTTTCAATCTATTATTTTTGAAGCTGAAATGTTAAGCAAATCACTCCATCACTAACTCAGGAAGTAAGTTAAGGGATCTATTTCTTTAGGAGGGATCTCTTAAGTAGGGCTTCCTAAATTACCTTTTCTTGGCTGGCCAGTGGCGCTATTGGCCTGAGTTTGGTAAACCCCATCACTTTGTACACACACCAGATGAGAATCCGCTTCTGTGCTAAAACTAGCTCCAATGCTGATGACATGCTCATTAGAAGAATTTATTACCTTCATTACCTGAGGGAAAAAAACCCACCATATTTGTTAAGAAATATTTTGAACACTTACGTCTAGTCTAGAAGTTGTATTATTTATCAACTTCATAATTACCAAGCTTTGGTCTGAAAAACTCCTTGGGAATGTGACCAAAAAAATAATAAATAAATAAAATCTCAATTAATAGATGAAACAATAAAGAAAACGGTTGAAAAAAACAGGATCAAGCAAATTCTCAATGAACCAATTATAAAAATTTAAAAACATATTCTTATTATAAAGTAGATTATTTTCATTCAAAACAACAACAGCAGCAAAATGCAGTCTCAGCAACTCCACTGTTGAACTGTCTTTAGAGCTGGGTAGAGCAAGTACACTTACATCATTGTACTTTTTCCGAGGTATTTTTATACAGCTTTTTCCCATTTCCATATGAATCAACAGCTGATCGATGTTATGCAATGTATACTGGTAATTTCGAAGATCCTACATAAAATGATCACAGTTCCATCAACATTTACCCATACACTAAACAGTTCCATTGTATCTGTAGTTTAAGCCTTCTGACACAGTCCTATCAAAATGCTACCCAGAAACAGCCCCAACTTGAAAAACAAAACACCTCCCATAAAAACCCCACAACTAACTCTTCCAACCACTACTCAAAAGTAACAAATATTCTCAGAAAGAAATCTACACTTTACTTTCCTTTTACAGCTTTCCCCAAACAGCAAAAGTGCTCCCAAAGGCTCAGATGTTAAAGGTTTGTTCACATCTCATGGTGCTAAGGGGCCTGGGTAGAATGTCTAGGAGGTGAGGCCTGGGATTCTGGAGGCATGCCCATGTAGGGGATTTTAACCCTCTCAGTTCCCATCTTTGCTTCCCTCGAGCACTGTAAGAGTGCCTTCTTCCACCATGCCGCCACATGCCCAAAACAACACAGCCAAGTGACCTGGGACTAAATGTTCCGAAGTTAGAAGCAACCGCAAACCACTCTATTTACAAGGATTATCTCCTATATTCTGAAACAGTAACAGACAACTGAGCGCCTTCAAGCTAGCTGTGAATGGGCAATTAAAAGTAGGTTTACTAAATACTTTCATATAGTAACAAGCAAATATAAAATGACAAAGTTATAGGTAAAAGGGAGCCTCAGATATCACCTTATCCAGGTTTTCTTACTACAAATGAAGACACCAAGATCATTATTAGTTCAAAACCACAAAGCTGATTTACTTTACTAACACTTTTATTAAAGTTCCATCAATTTCAGATTTGTGAAGAAGTCTACCTATTACCCTAGTACATAAAAACAACAGTAGAGCTAAGCAAAGGGCAGTCAGAGTTAGAAACACATAAATCAGGAGACATTGTATTCTAAAATGAAGCAGAGCTCATTTATGTTAAGTGGCTTAGGACTTATTACAAGTGAGTCTTCAAATACCAAACACTCCAAATTAAAATGGACAAATAAAACTAGGTGAAATATACTAAATAAGTTTAAAGAAACAGTACTTAAAAACAATACAATAGTTTAGTTACTTACAACAAGTAAGTTCATTATAGTGTGTCCTATTTCTCCAAAAAGAGGTTTTCTGCCTCTGATACTTGTTAGAGGAGCAGGATACGCTGCATATAAAAAAGGATAATTGGTCACTATCAGCAATCACAGAAAGTCCTAAGTTTATTATATTTAATTTTAATTTCAAACAAACTACATATAAACCTGTGGTGATGTTTTGTTTATGATCTAACAAATAAAGCTTGCCTGAAGATCAGAGTGCAAAGCTAGCCACACTACTTAGCCACAGAGGTCAGGCAGTAGAGGCACAGGCCATTAATCCCAGCACTTGGGAGACAAGCAGACGGATCTCTGTTAGTTCAAGGCCATCCTGGGCTACAAGAGATTGAATCTGTCTAAAAGAGAAACAGAGCTCACACAAAGATGATCCCAACACTTAGGAGGTGGAGACAGAAGAGGATAGGGCTAGGTGGAGAGAGAAATATAAGTGGGAGGAGGCAGGAGCTCATGGCAGTCTGAGTAGCAATCAAAAGACAGGATCTGAGCATTGGGAAAGGTAAGAACTCTCTAGTGGCTGACCACTTTGCTTCTCTGATTTTTCAGCTTTCACTCTCTGATAGCTGACTCTGAGTTTTTATTATTAATACCAATTAGAATTTGTGCTACAAATACCGCTCAGTCAGTATCAGAGAAAAGTAAAAGATGCTTATGTATCTGCGAGATGCTACACTAACTGGTAACCTTTCATGAACTGCCTCATTTAAATCCTACAACGAAGATGTCCAAACCTACTGACAGACAAGAAAATTGAGACAAAGATAAAGTTGTTCATTTAACTGTGGAAAAAAGATTTGAAAATAGGCCTGCCTTTCTGATTTCAAGGTATTTAATGTTTTTGTTTCCATAAAATTTCCATTGAAAAATTTACAATAATTGCTTTGACCCCCTATAAAATTTTCTAATTTAAAGACAAATAGGAAAAAAAAAAAAACAAAACACATTTTGATGTTTCTTCCTGTGGTGTTGGCCTTGTACATGCTAGGTCAATACTATACCACTGAACCATAACCCTAGTCCCCAAATTAGAGGCTTTAAAAACATTTAGTCAATATTAAATTGTGGCGATTCAGAAGTGGCAGTATATTTTTATACTTCTTAGGTCATGATGATAAAAGGAGCATAAAGAGTCAAGGGATCTAGTGCAGAAAAGGGGGACAGACAAGGCCTTGTCCAATATCTACCTTCTTATTAGGGGACACACTATAAAAATAACCATATACCATTATAATAGAGTTAGACTCTTCAGCTATGTCAAAAGCAGACATGCAAATACACACAGAAGCATGTATCTAGGTGATACATTCTATAGCACTTTTGAGTAATTAGCTAACCATTAGGAATATGAAAATCAAGTGAGGTAGGTAAAACCTAGGAAGATGGCAACCACCATCTTCTAACCCACTGTCTCTAAAAGTCATCAACCCTTGACTACCTCAGCAGGTGTACAATAGTACTACACCTAAGAAGCACTTCCTGCATTTATGATGCAAGCATGGGGGAGGGGGCACACTAAAACACACACATTTATTTGCCCAATATGTACTGAAAACAAAACTCTCAATAATACATAATTTTGAAAAAAAAGTTAACAAAAGTAATAATGTAAAGAACTTTGCTTTTCTTCTGAAATAGGAAAGTATGGTGGTGCATACCCGTAGTGTGAGCTCTTGGGAGTGAGGCAGGAGAATCAGGAGTTCAAGGTCATTATCAGCTATCCGCTTCAAGTGATCTGAGGGCTAAGAGTGGCCACAGCTACACAACACCCTGTCTCAAAAGATTTACATTTAAATTTTAAGCTAAGATATATAATTTATGAGCACCCTGACAGTTCATGACACACCCTAATTTGATACAAGAGGATTATCTTGGAAATTAAAAAACCCACCAAATCACAAGTAGTTCTATTAATCTAGTAAAAATTGCTTAAATAATTTCCCTGAATCTATTGCTTCATCATCAGTATATCTAAAGACAGGACATCTTATTATCCTCAAACTTACCTTTGTATTCTGCTCCCAATCTCAACATTAAGCGCATAGGAAAAACCTTTGCCCAAGGAATCTCCAGTTTCTGGATGAGAATACCACAGAGAAAAGGACTCCTTGGTACTGGGAGATCGTCAAGCTTCTGAAAAGTAGGTGTAATAAACAGGAACCCTCCATGATCCTTGCTATTGAGAAAACTCTCAGTAAAGGTCAGACTGTCCAAGTTTTCTATGTACTTTCCTGGAAATAATTTATTAATAAAATAGTTTAAGTTGTTATATTATTATTTTTGATGAAACATTCTGAGTCTGAATGTCCCAATATAAATTTTCTTAAGTAAAAGCAATACAGTTTTTGCTTTGTTTTGTTTTTGTATTTCTACTCATAAAGAAGCCTCTATTTGGATTGGGGTATAGCTCTTTGGTAGAACGACATATCTTAAGGCCCTACATTCAAGACACAGCACCACAAAAAGATTAAGAAGGAGGAGAGGGAAGAGAAGACTCTGGTAAATACTATGCACAGAGTCAAGCTACTCCTGGGAAATGTAATAAAAATTTGAAAATGTTACCCGTCTTCTTGTTCTCCTTTGTGAATAGCAATAAGAAAAATCATCCCCCACATCTAGCACAGATGGTAAGTATACAGATACATTAAAAAAAAAAAAAAAATCAAGGAGGCAAAGGTATTTCCATCTTTAAAATGAAAAAACATCTATGTGGATACATTACATAAAACTCTAGATTTAAGGAAATTAATGGTAATTACGCCGTTTTTCAGAAACCATCAACTTTTTCACAAGATAAATCTTTAGTATAATTAGCATAGCTGAAACATAAATGTCTTTAACTACTTTATCCATCCCCTAGTCTCAATAGTTAAAAATAAAATAGTATACCTTTTAAAGCATCCTTGTATATGGTGATGAACAGTCTAAAGATGTCCTTAGGAACTGTATCCTCATTTGGCAAACATAGCAACAGGATAATAATTTCTGCCTGTCCCAAGCCATGCAATCCATTAGTTGAGAAGTACCAATATTTATCTGAGGCATCTTGAGGAATAATGACATAAAACTATAAATGTCATTTTTTTTAATTTAAAAACTAAACATTTCTTTTGAATAAAACACAATTTATCAAAATTTTTAAATTCTCTTCATAAAAACTTAATGTGTTTAGGATTCATATAAGAAAAGACTAAACAAAGACCTTTATAGGAGTCAAGTAATAACAGTAAGAAACTCTAAAGTAAAAGATGCACTAAAATGCTGGAAAGACTTGCATTTATTTCATTGAGGAAAAACAGATTAGTGCATTATTTGGTAGTAAAGATTATTTTTGAGGATGATTTATTTCCTTAATTTATGTTAATTAGGTCACATTATTGAATTTAAAAATGCCTTAAATGTGGTAGTCCAGCAAAGAGAAACAGAGGAAGGAAGATTACTGCAAGTCTGAGGCCTGCCTGGTCTACATAGTGAGTTCAGACCAGCCAGGGATATATATTGAGTCTCTGCCTCAAAAAGAAAGAAAAGAGAAAAAGTCTTTATTGTTACCAAATCATGACTCTATTTACCATAGTTCAAGTTATCTAAAAAGATAACAACCAACAGGAAGTTACATAGTAAACATCAAAATGTACTTCATCTGGGCGGGGAAGGCGGCATAGCAGCAGAATGCATAGCTCCCATACATGATGCCCTAGGCTGAATAACCATGGGAGATATGGGGAGAGAGGGAGAAGGAAAATGGACAAAACAAAAGCCCCTCAACTAAGATGAGCCTGCCTGTAATCCCAGCACTCCAGAGTAGAGAGGCAGGAGAGCCTCAAGTCTGAGGACAATCACCTATCTATCTAAAATTATATTCAATCACATTTGGCTGAAAAAATATTCAATCCTGTTTATTTTTCACTATGATCAATCAAAATATAACATGAAGATATAATTACTGAAAAATAATCAGAAAAATGAATCTCTACTTACAAGATACTAACTTGACATTCACAAGTAGGTTAGCATTTAGAACAAATGTGGCAGGAGGAAATCCTTCACCTTCAAGAAGCAAAATGATCTGCTCATGAGATGGGTGTTCTTGTACTACAGACACTAAAGAGCAGACATATATTAATCAGGGTAAATATCCTCTCAAATATGCTTACAATGAAAAAATATATAAATCTATAATAAACTGATCACATTTAAACAAAAACAAACATGTTTCTTGAAACCAATTACCACTCTGTTCCATAGTTACATACTCATTTTTACCTTCCTACCCACTAACACGGAACAAACAGATATATTCTGATCTGATATATATCAATTACCATTTATCTATATATTTGTGTACTTTTCAAGTTATAAAAAACACTTATCAAAAATGGATTCTATAGCCTGCCGAATGGCTTAGTGGGTTCAATTTCTTGGCTATGCCAGTTTGATTCCCTAGAACCTATGGTAGGAGGCGGCCTCACCCCACGAAGCTATCTTTGGATCTCTACAGACATGCTGTGGCATACACAGACACTCAACACACATCATACCCAGGCATCTACCCTGCGGAGCGACTCTGAGATGGGAGTTAACCACAGTATTCTCAGTTCATCTCATTTCATTTTTTACAAGAAAAATGGAGACCCAGTGAGATTAAATAGCATGCTTAAAGTCATACATGAAATAAGTAGCAAAATGATGACCTAAAGTTCCTGGTTTTGTCACTGAATTTAATGCTATTTCTTTGGGAACCATGCTTCATAAAAAAAATAAATAAAGTACAAAAGCTACAGTTAAACCCCAAATAGAAACATTTCTGATGTGTTTCCCTACTGTATTAGACTTTAATTCATCCCAAGTCAGAAACCCACATGCAATAAATGACTCAAAAGTTCAAATAGTTTCCTATTTATTTTGTCTAAGTAAGACTTTCTATAAACTAATCACCCCTTTTATAAACATAACAATAATGTTTAAGTGTAAAATGCATTTCTTGTACTATACACAAAATTAACTTTTAAAAAGGTTATTTTCCCCTGGGGTGGATATGGTAGCTCACATCTGTCCTCTCAAAGGCCTGGTCTACACGGCAATTTTCATGGCAGCAGCCACAGCTACATACACCTTGTCTCGAAAAACCAAAATGAAGATTTCTTTTCAACTTTAAGTAGCCACAATCCTACCTGATCCTTCTCCAGATGTGGCCAGAAGGGGAGGCAAAGCAACCTCACCCTCAGGTAGAAGACTAATCTGGGTACAGACATGAGTGGCAATGTCACACAATAGCCTGTAGTCTGAGACACTATCAGCAGGCAAACCAGGGTGGGCAGGTACAATAGCAGGAGATGGCTCCTCGCTGTCCACAAAAACATCATCTTCCAGTGAGAAAGGGCCAGGCATGGGCAAACCTTCAGTGCCTGTGCGCAGAGGCGGTTTTTCCACCGGTGTAACATGAGAAACAGGACTCTGAGTTATCTCAGTTCTTATAATATCTCCTATTTCATTTTTTGGTTTTTCCACTAGTGCAGAATGGGTATGATCCACTTTATTTATAATCTGTAAAATAGGAGAGAAAATAAATCAGTCTATATTCTCTGTTCAAGAATGAAATGTCCTCTATAACCAAATGTATTTTAATAAAAATAAATCAATATAAGCTCCTAAATTCTTCTCAAGTTGAATTTCCAAGAGACAGAGACCATCTGACTTCCGTGAAGTAAAGGGTATAACACATAAGGAGCACAGGGTTTAGTTAGTGACCAATGTAACTTATCTCACGTCTTTTTCCTTCTTTTAACAGTCAAACTGCCTGGAGGGACAGGGAGAAGGCTAAGGAGGGCAGCAGAGGGGTGGCTTGGAAGTGGAGTGGTGGAGAGTCCACAACAGCAACCACCCAGAAACAGCTTCTGCCAGTCACCTTGTTTTAGACTGTGCAGAATGTGTATTAAGAAGTCAGAGTGATAGATATGGTCTGTGTAAGCTTCTGTTTTTGTTGGAACAAGATTGAGATCAATGCTAGCTAAGGAATATGCCACCTTTGGTAACTACTCTTGTCTGCTCAAGACCTTTTACTTGCAGATGGTATGTACTACATGCCTTCTACTTAAACCTGGTACAGTGTGTAAACTGAAGCAGAAATATCACCAAATACTTTCTGGAATGCATGGAAACCATTAAGTTAACATCAATTTAAGATAAATTATGAGTCTCACAATGCAGTTCAGGGACTACTGCCGTCCACAACATCATTTCAGAGAGACAATGCTGTCCTAGATTTTTTTCATAGAACCCAAAGAGTGAGTCACACACAGTGCACCATACATGGAGGCAAAGCTGAAACGATGCCACTGGCTACTGAAGTGATCTGGTTTCAAATATCCTTTGTCTTAAAATAGTGCCTCCTATTGTCTTATACAGTACACAGTTTATAGGATCATTATTATTATTTGTTTGTTTTTGTTTTTCGAGACAGGATTTCTCTGTATTCTTTAGAGCCTGTCCTAGAACTCGTTCTGTAGACCAGGCTGGACTCGAACTCACAGAAATCTGCCTGCCTCTACTTCCTGAGTGCTGCTGTAAAGGTGTGCGCCACCAAGGCCCGGCTAGGTTCATGTATGTATGTATGTATGTATGTATGTATGTATGTATATGTATTATATATATATATATTCTTATTTTACATATCAATCCCAATTCCCCCTCTCTCCCTCCCATGTCCCCCAACCCCCTCCCATCTCATCCTCCCCCCACTCCACAGGGAGGGTGATGCCTTCCAGGAGGGATCATCAAAATATGTCAATCATTTGGAGTAGTGACTAGGCCCTCCCTCCTGCCTCTAGGCTAAGGGAGTATCTCTCCATGGGGAATATGCTCCCAAAGTCCTTTCGTGCACCAAGGATACATCCTGGTTCCACTGTCAGAGGTCCCTTAGACTGCCCAGGCCTTCTAACTGAGACCCATGTTCAGTGGGTCTGAGTCAGTCATATGCCAGATTCCCAGCTATCAGTCTGGGAGCCCATGAGCTCCCCCTTGTTCAGATCAGCTGTCTCTGTGGGTTTCTGTAGCCTTGAAAGGATAATACTCAACTTTATATGGAAGAACAAAAGACCCAGGGTAGCCAAAATAACCCTATACAATAAAGGAACTTCAGGAGGCATCACCATCCCGGACTTCAAGCTCTATTATAGAGCTATAGTCCTGAAAACAGCTTGGTATTGGCACAAAAATAGACAGGTAGACCAATGAAATCAAATTAAAAATCCTGATATTAACCCACATACCTACGAACACCTGATTTTTGACAAAACAGCTAAAATTATACAATGGAAGGAGGAAAGCATCTTCAACAAATGGTGCTGGCACAACTGGATGATGGTGTGTAGAAGACTACAGATAGACCCATGTCTATCACAATGCACAAAACTTAAGTCCAAATGGATCAGAGACCGCAACATAAATCCAGCCACACTGAATCTCTTAGAAGAGAAAGTGGGAGGTATCCTTGAACAAACTGGTACTGGAGACTGCTTCCTGAACATAACACCAATAGCACAGACACTGAGATCAAAATTAATAAACGGGACCTCCTAAAACTGAGAAGCTTCTGTAAGGCAAAGAACACAATCAACTAGACAAAACAACAGCCCACAGACTGGGAAAAGATCTTCACCAACCCTACATCTGACAGAGGGCTGATCTCCAAAATATACAAAGAACTCAAGAAACTAGTCACCAACACCAAATAACCCTATTAAAAAGTGGGGTAAAGAACTGAATAGAGAATTCTCAATAGAGGAATCTAAAATAGCTGAAATACACTTAAGAAAGTGCTCAACATCCTTAGCCATCGGGGAAATGCAAATCAAAACAACTCTGAGATACCAACTTACTCCTGTCAGAATGGCTAAAATTAGAAACACCAATGACAGATTATGCTGAATGGGTTCATTATTTTTAATTAAGAAATATTTTAGTCTTTTCTATCTTGGTTTTAAAAACAATTACAAATACATAAAACCTACATAACATAATCTTTGGGGTTCTATGTAACATTTAAAGTTTTTGAAGAGGTTCTGAGGTTTTTGTTTAAAAACTGAGAGTCACTGCCAGAAACAAATATTAAAAAGGGTAAAACAGGGCTGGAGAGATGGCTAGCAGTTAGAGGAGTGCTCGCTGCTCTTGCAGAGGACCAGAGTTTGATAGCAGCACACTGGGTGGCTCAAAACCACCTATAGCTCAGCTCCAGGGAATCAAGTGCCCTCTGGCTTCTATGGGTGGTTGCACATACATGAACATACCCATACAGACAGACACAGACACATAAATTAAAACCAAAATAAGTATTTCAAAGGGTAAAATTTAAAATCTATTAATATCAATCTAAGCATATCTCAGATTTTAAAAATCAAGGTTTTATAAAAAGCAAGTCTGAACACACAAAAGTTATGTTTACGTTGTAGCAATTTACTAAGTGAGCAATAACACAATATCTTAAAAAAGTATTAAAAAAACTTTACTACTACAAAATGCTAATGGCCTTTCTGAGCTGTTGGAAACCTGAGGCTCATTAATAATGCAGTTTGCAAAATGTTGTCTTAAGAGAAGCACAACACAGCAAAATATGCACACATATATCTCCTGTCAAGGCATCCAAAGGATAAGTACACTAATATTCACAGGAGGAATCGTCTACAAATAAAATGTCATGTAACATAAGTTGCCTTATCTAGACTCCTTACTGTGGGCACATCAGGTAAGACAGGACTAAAGTCATCCGAGCATCTTTTACTTCCAGATGATAGTTTCGTTGTATCAGCAACCTCACCATTAGGCAGTATGCCATCTGCAAACCACACTCTCTTCTGTTCTTTGGAGCCTGGACCTAAAATGAGTTGGAAAGGTAAGCTGTTTCAGTTTGGCAATACTGCAGTGAAACAATTCCAAATAAGTCAGTTAATGTTTTCAGAATCCTTTTGCCATTCATGGTAAGTCCTATAATCTCAGGGCTGTAGCATCCTAGGGAAAATGGCTTTAATAATTCATGTACCCCAAGCAAAGTCCATGCCTATCTAGTTCACACCAAGAAAGAGCAGTAGGACAGCTATAGCCATGGGAGTCACATGCTCTGAAAGGAAGGAAAAATATTATACTTGTGGACAGTGGGAAGACATAGGCCTCTATTACCGAAATGAAGTATGTATGGCGTAGCACGTCAAGTCAGCTCTCCACAGACAAAACAAAGCACTGAGAAAATGACTTAATAGTTTCAAAGGTTAGGGTCCAACGTGGCTTAGTTCCATTTCCACGGGCTTGTGACCATGATGGTGAAGATGTAGCAAAGCAGAGCTGCCCACCTCATGGTGGCCCGGAAGCAGAGAAAGATACAAAACAAGGAAAAGACAAGATGCAACCTTTCCGGGGAGGTCCCCAGTGCTCTAATTCCTCCAGCTAAGCCCACCTTCTATTCTGCCACCTCTCATAAGATCATCAAGGATGAAGCCGTCAATAGATCAGCTCACTGATTAGCTCAGAACCCTAGAAACCCAACCACTTCTCTAAAACCTGGCATCTGAACAATGTACTGGGGACCAAGCCTTCAACACATTGTCTTTAGGGGCATGTCACATCAAAACCATAACAAACAGTGACTCAATACAACTTAAGGCTGAGTAAGCTGCAGAGATGAAAAGCAGAGATAAGAACATAACAGATAAGCAAAGAAAATCATACAGATAACAGAAAAAACTAAGTGAAAAAAAGTGTGAAGAACAGGAAAGTGGATCACTTATGTATTCAAGAGATCTTTTTGTATTTTAATTTAATATAGAAACATTAACACTGTAGTTCTTATAACATGGGCCATAAACCTTATTAATACTCATTACTGTTTCCTCTCTAATCTAGAGGAAGTGTCTATTTATAAGCAAGAATACTTGTTTTTTGTTTTGTTAGAAAGTATCTACACAGAAGTTTAAAAAAATTAAAGTCAGATGACTTCAAAACAATATAAAAATACAAGTAGTTTTATGCTACTTTTTAAAATGGAGAAGACATGGAAAAAGTTGGAATTATGTATATGTATTTGCAATATGGGTGGGTGCATTAAACAAGGTAACTTTCTTACATACAATAGTCTGATAACAGTTTAGGTTGTTGATATAAGAACATATAAATCACTTTAGATACAAATTTATTATCTTTAGGGTTAAAATACCCAATTTCATAACTACATCTTTGTTCAGATTATAAACAGAAAATAGCTACTGAGTGATAATCCAATCCCCTCAAAATGTCAGAAGAATCAAATTTATCTTCAACTGATATGTACAGTTATTTTTTAAAATGTTAGTCTTTGCTTCCAAAACAAATATATGTGAATATATACTGGCCCTCTATGAGATTGAAAATGGCCACAGCTAGAACAATAGTAGATAATTCAAAGGTTTAAAGTAGATTTTGTGGTAATGCATGTCTGTAACCAATGAGTCATAGAAGGTTATTTGAGTTCAGAACCTGAGACTAACTTGAGTCTTAAAAACTAAAGATAATAAATAACAGCTTGTTATTGTGGTAAAACACACAATTAGAAAGAGTTATTTACTTGATATCCCTAGAAGCCCAGCCCCCTGGACTATACTGAGCTCTCGGGTGCTACGTTGAAAGTGTGGAAGCTGCAAATCTTAGCAGTCTTTGCTCTCTGACTCACTGTGATCACATTATGCCAGATGCAGGGAGTGGTGAGGGAGACCAAATGTGGAAAGGGAGGATTCTTTCTGCCCTCCTTCCTTGTTGCAGGGTCCCTATAGAAGTAGTAATAGCAGCAGCAGCAGCAGCAACAGCAGCAGCAGACACATTGCATGTCCCATAACTTTTCATCACTCCTAACATCAACTCTAGATGCTCCTTCAGCTTCCTGGGCACCAGCCATAAGAGACTCCCTTGATGCTTCCAGTATTTTGTCATATGACATTTTCCCAGAGATCACAGCTTCAGACATATGTCGCTTTAGCTGCTAACCCCCATGTCTGAGAGCTAAGCACCACCAGGTACCCTCTCTAAATGCTACTATTGCTTTCTCCCTTTTCATCCCCAAGTCCTAGTGGTGGCAGCAGCTGCTTTCTGCAGTTATTTATCTATGAGACTCCTGAGCAGGTCTCCAGTCTCCATCATACATGATTAACCAATTCCCTGTATACATTCCTCCTGACCTTAACTGGTTTCTCTTTGCTATCTAGGCTCTGACTGCCAGAGCATTTCTATTTGATAACTAATCCTAGGTGTAAACCACAGCAGTTTACCCTGGTTACCTTCAACATTTGGTTGTTTCAGTGCTGAGATGGGCAAAGTTGTAGGTGAAAGTATACTGGATGTGTGGGTCTCCTCAAGTGGCTGGGTGGTGGCACAATCTTTAGAATGATTAGACTTAAGACAAGAACCACTGGGACTCATCATCCTTTCAAATGCCTGAGCTATAAAGGGGGAAAGAATAGTATTAAAAATGCATGTTTTTTTAAACTTTCAAGAAAGCTCTAATAGATATTTGATTTTTCAAGTTGTAAGGAGAAAGAAATAAATGGCCAATCAAGAGAAAGTGGTACTTGATAAAGATGTCCGAGTGACTAGTACAGGCTCCTTTCTTTAGTTGGCAGCACTCCACTTCATTAAGTTATAGATGAGTTATTTCGATATTTTTAATTATGTATGCTTGGTATCTATTACAGAAAATCATCTTTATTGAGTATGAGTATCTGTTTTGCCCTTTTAATCCTAGAATCTACCTACTAGCAACATGCTGCAGAATGATTCTTTAAGACCTAAATAATTATTTCCTAGTATAATAGTCAGTTTAAATCCTTTATGGTTTTCTAATTGGAGTTATCTGAATGACAGGTCCTGTGGGTTCTACATCCCTAGTCTCATCTCTCAGTATAACCCACAGACTCACAAGGAGCCAGCGACCTGAGCCTCCTTGTTCTTCACGTTCAGCAAGTACAGCTTGGCTGTCTGTTCTCTCTTCAGATTCTCACACAGATCCAGTCTATTTCTTTCAAGTCCCTAGTCACATGTCATATTATCATAAAGTACTATTACGGCCACTAATCTGTTTCTATCTTTGTACATTTTAAGTTCAGGGTATTATTATCATCTGATGGCTTCTCTATTTACTATCCCCTTTTCTCCACATTCAATAATTCTACATCAACAGAACATCTATTTTGTTCTCAGCTGTAACTCCAGAATACAGAACATCACTGAATAATCTTCCAATACAAAAGCACAGTACTGGCAATGCCATCTTCAGCCCTTCTCTAAACTGAATGACCGTAAGTGCTACCACAGCTACAATCTTTCTTACCATCACTGCATCAGAGCACTTTGGAAACTGTTTCCACTAACCAGTAAGAGCCACACACTTTACATTCTACCAGACAGCATTCACATGCTGACAGAACTCACACAATCTCAGCAACCTTCTCACTGTTCACAATTTCTATTCAATCTTTTCTTCCATCCTTCATTGACTTCATCATACAACCTTTGAATCATCTTTTTCATATATGATAACATTGTTTAAATGATCACTTCCATAATTTTCTAGCCTATAGTTGACATTTTCTTGTAATATATAACTCCTTATATATTACTGTAATACATATACTGTAATAATAGCTCCTTAAATGAAAACTATGTAAGATGTTGAAACAGAATAAAAACAAGTATCTAAATAAATTCATTGCGTGCGTGCGTGTGTGTGTCCCTCTGTGTGTGTGTGTCCCTCTGTGTGTGTGTGTGTGTGTGTGTGTGTCTGTGTGTGTGTGTCTGTGTGTGTGTTGATGGGAATTAAACTTGTGGTCTTGTATATGCTAGAACAAGCACTCTACCATTGAGCTACATTTCTATTCCTCTACATTATATCCTTGATAGACAAAAATTTTATCTTGGTATTTTGTTAAGTCTCTTTAATGAGCATAACTTTCTCTCTCTTGGATTGTATAGTCAGAATATCTCTTCCCAAAATCTGACCTGGTAACTCAAATTTTCATGGCTTTTGAAGTAGGAACCTTTATGTGGGAACTTCCCCTAAAATTTGAATTCTAGTAAACTGCTTGGGCTAATAGCATTGGCAGCTGTCGTCTAGGCTACAGATACACTGCAAGAAGAAAAGCAATTATAAGCGTGTAGCTTCTTAATAAACAATGGCTAAAACATAAAAATATTTTTTAATTATATTCTATTATCTTCCAGAGTATAGGTCAACAGCAGGGAGTAGAACAGCTTACCTCGGGCTAACAGACTCACATCAGAGCTTTTTGGAGAATTGCTGAAAAAATTTATCTTCATTCAAAAGAGAAAAACAAATTATTATCAGGTATTTATTCCCCTGGCTAATAGGAACTAGCTAGTTCATAGGCCTGGTCAAAAAATGGTCAAGTAATTTTTGTTGGGAATTAAACTGTCAACAAATCTTTGAAAATACAAGAATTACTCAAAAGAACAGACATTAGCTAGGGGTGAAAGCACAACATCACACACACACACACACACACACTCTCTCTCTCTCACACACTCACAAACACACACACACACACACACACCAACAACAACAATAATAACAACAAAAAACAAAACAAAACCCTGTGGGAACTCAAAGAAGACCACTGCTGAAAATGGAAACTAGTTAAAGACCAAGAAACAATGGGTACACACACATTTAACATTCTAAAACTGAGAATGGAAAAAGATGAGACCAAAATGTACCAACAGTATGGTGGTCCTATGAGTTTATATAATCATATTTAATACCTTATCTCTCATTCTCATTTCAGGCAACTGTCTAAAGGATAAGAACTACTACCTTGCCTTTAACATTAATATATAATGCTGAGAACCAATAAGTAGCTACTTGTATGAATGTTTCCATTAAGATGATAAGGATGACAGTGACGATCAAACAGTAGGGAGATGAAATGCAGCACTTAGGAACTTAGTACCTGTTAAAAGGTAATGAACTGCCACTCCAGAACCTGAATGCTTCCTTTCCACACTGGTAGTGTTAATTGTGAGAGTGGAACAAAAAGAGAAACCAAGCCTTGGGATGTCCCACCTAAGCCAAATAAGTCAACACTAGGTCCTTGCCTTAAGAAAATAAAGAAGTTTATCTTTGTCACAATCCAGTTACTCTTAATATATATTCATGTAGTGGAAGAAAACATGTCAGGTTAATACTCACCTTTATTAATAGTCTCATAGCAGACTACACATACTCTTGCTTCCTTTTCTAGATACTGAAGCTTACATTTCCTGTTACAACAGACACCACAAAATACCTACAAAGAATAAAATACTACATTTGTTTTTGTCTCAAGTATATTTATTAGAAGCAGGGGGTAGGAGCTCAAAACCTAATAAGCTGAAACATTTCTTATTATGTGACTCATTTTTCTAATCACTATAATCATAAATAGAACTATTTAACTTTACTTAACTTAAATTTACTTTAACTTAAATAAGCATGATAGCTAATCTTGACTGCCGATATTAATTGGAACGAGAGATGTCCAGGTGTTCTGGGTATGTCTGTGAGGGTATTTCCAGACAAGACTGGCAACCAGAATAACTAGGAAAGGAGACAGACATACCCTGGATCTGAACACCACTGCCCAATAGACTGGAGGCCTGGCAAGCATAAGAGTGGAATAGAAAGGCAGCAGTGAGGACAAACCATCCCTCCTGCATCTATCTCCTGATGCTGTGACAACAGACTCAACCCTTCAGCCACACCGTTGACTCTCCAGGGACCCCAGGCTTCACAGCAACTGCACTACCTGCCTACGCATCAGATGACCACTGCTGGACTAATGAGCCTACCATCACATCTAATAAATCCCTTTATAATTACACACATACATACATGTTTATCCATAAATATATATATATATATATATGAATTGTTCTTCTAGAGAACTCTAATGCAAGGAATATTTTGTAATTTCTAGTCATATTTCTGATGAGGAAAACTTTTTGAATCAATTATGTTAGCTGGAAGGCAATAAAATTTTTCTTTAATAAATCTGTCTATGAATTGAAAAGCTTCCTGTAGCAGCTAAATACATAATTTAGTGATACTGAGCTTGCCTACAATTTACAAGGACATTATTTTGCTAAGATGTAGTAGTTTGAACACAAATCAACATATAACTGAAAAGTGCTAAATAAAAAAGCACACCAGCTTTTAAAGACAATTTCTTTAGAGTTTATAGACAGCATATTTATCCTCAATAAGAACACAAATAAGCCAACTGTTATTCTAGTGTTTTCCTAGGTAGTGACCAGGAAACTGGCTGCAATGGAAGTATTTAAAGACAGGGGGATCCACTGAGCTTGGAACATCTGTCAGTACTAGAGAACATAAACACTTGGAGCAGCAGTTCTCAACCTGTAGGTTACAACCCTTTGGGGTCACAAATCAGATATCCTGCCTATCAGATATTTACACTGCAATTCATAACAGTAGCAAAATTACAATTATAACGTAACAACAAACAATTTTATGGCTGGGGGTCACCTTAGCATGAGTATTAAAGTATTAAAGGGTCACAGCTCTAGGAAGGTTGAGAATCACTGACCTAACAGGATAACAAAGTAACTCAGAATCTGCCTGTTGTGAGAGGACCTAGTTTCAATAGCAGGAACCATAAACGACTAATAAAAAGCCAACATTTTAATAACTTACTTTCCCACATGCTCGGCAGTGGTGTCGCCGTTTTGTAAAAGTGAATTTGACTTGGCAGTTCATACAGTTTGGAGCTTCTGAATCAGGAACCCAAGTAGGTTGTTTCTGGCCCAAAACCAAACCTTCTTTGCAAATGCTTTCAGGCAGAGAATCCTTGTTTGCAGTTACAAAACTGGATCCACCCTCAATATTACTTTCTATGTCAATGTAATTGGAATTGAAGCTAACCTGAGAATCAGGTATATGGTCGGCAGAGCAAGTGGAGACAGCAATAGCATTTGCTGTGCTTGCCTCACTTTCTGGCACATCTTGGATGTCTGGCTTACTCAGTTCCTTTGAACTCCTTGTCCCTGGTGGAAGGCTAAGAAGTTGCTTAGGTCTGGCCCCTCCAACAGCTTGGGTGTTAATACTAGAGACTGGCAATTCATTCGCTGTGTCAGACTTACTGGCTGGAACTATACTTTCCCCTGCAGAAGCATCACCATTTTCCACTCTGTTTTCTTTATCAATTGTTTCACAAATCACAATATCTCCATTTTCACCAGCGGCTCCAGCTTCAGCATTGAAATATGTATCACCGGCACTTTCATCATTTAATCTTTGCATATCTATCTGATTCATCTGAGACTGTGAATCATTTAATCTGTCTTCAAAAGACATTGTGTTAGGGTCCTGAAGACACTGTTCTTTCAGGAAAGCGTCTAGTTCAGCATCACTGATTAGTGTACCACTTCTTATGCTTTCATCAATATTGAAGTAATCTAACTCCTGTCCGTCCATATCACTGCTGGCAAAGGTGAGCCCTTCATATCTGTCAGGAGACTCTGAGGCATTCGAAGCATAGAGTGCCATTTGAGACTCTGCAGCTGCAGAAGAGCTGGTATCCTCAGGGTACTCCAAAGATTCACCATGGATTACCATCTGTTCAGGTTCAACCTTCCCATCCTCTTTCTTTTCCTTTACTGACTGAAGAAACATGCTTTTACACTTTTCCTTTTTCAAAATATCTGCCTCCCTAAGGATGTCCCCATCTAAAACAGTATTCTTCTGTACTTCTTCAAGCAGAGTCCTTACATCTTTCTGATCTTCACACTTATCAGGAGGTAAAAAATCACCACACACATTATTGTCAATTAAGGGTTCACACAAAAACCCAGACGATGAAAGACAGGGCAGTGAAGAGGATACACCTTCCCTTGGAACATGCAAAGATGAAGAAGAAATCTGGACTGTATCATCATTGTCTTTAAGGTCTAAGTTTCTTGAGTCTTTTTTTACTAACTGTTTCATAAGTACAGCAGTACTGTCTTCCTGAAATGAAGGGTCAAGTAACTTGAAGTTTTCATCTTTTGAATTTGGGTCACTTAGGCATAACCCTTCATTTTTTTGAAGATTGTAAGGCCTAGCAATTGTGTTACTGCCTTCCTCTAAACACTCTGTATTTATGACTGCCACATCCACTCTCTCTTCTGCCAAACAGCCATCACCTTTTAAAACCTCACATGGAAGCCTCTTGTACTGTGGGTTATCTTTGGCATTAGTTGTTTCAGAACTTTGTTCAGTCAAAGTAGACGAAACGTCAAAATCAATTGTTTCTAACTCATTAGGGACCTTTTCATCCTTTAAATTTTCTGTTCCACTATATTTACAAGAATCGGAAAGTGCTGTGTCTACTTTTACACCCAATTCTTTAATCCTACTAATAGCTCTGTTTTGTAGGCCAGAGTTGATGTCATTCTGTTCTTCTCCAACAACATTAGTACCATGGTCTAATGCAGAGACAGTGAGAGCATCTGAAACTGAAGACAAATCCAATGCGATTAAAGCATCTACACTAGACTTAGAGTCATCTGGCAATAACTTCTTAATGTCTTCTTCACTATTGGTGGCATGTACTAAGTTACCCATGTCACTTATCAAGTCACAGACAGGTTTACTACATCTTCTCATACATGAAAGCTGGATTTCATCTGAAGTACTAGCATCTACCGAAGAAAGAAGATCAAGTCCTGTTACATTTTTTTCATTCTGTCTACAAGTTGACCCCTCATGTGTTTCCTTGTTGAGGAAAGTCTCATTTGTTTCAGAGCCTGTTTCTGATGAGGCACAACTACCACCACATCTTTGGTCCTTCGGCAACAGTAAAACTAGCTGTGGAGAGGCTGGTTCTGAAGAAACTGAACAGTGATTAGAAGCATATACATTCTGTGCATCTTGGAGATAATCTTGTTTATCTAGTGAAAAATAGAGACACAAAGCTATTCAGAATAAAATAAAAATTAGAAAGATACACTTCCTAGAACTTTCAATCAACTTTTTATTTGCTCTGAACTGCTGTAGTTTTTACTTGATGCAGTAGTCATAAGATGACAGAAACACTGTCAACAACTCAGCTATACTATAAACCAAACCAGAAGAGGCTGAGAGCTATCTTTTCTTTAGCTCTTTGTATTCTGTCATTGTCCTAATTGGTTTTTTGTAAACTTGACACAAGCTAGAGTCATCTGGGAAAAGGAACCCAATTAAGAAAATGCCTCCGCCATATGGCCTTGATTAATGGTTGGTGCGAGAGGGCCCAGCCCACTGTGGGTGACTAGTCCTGACAGTGGATCTGGGTTGTATAAAGGAGCAAGGTGCAAGCCATGAGGAACAAGCCATTAAGCAGCACTCCTCCACCGGTTCTGCTTCATTCCTGCCTCAAATCCCTACCCTGACTTCCTTTCATGGTGGAATATCCACTCTAAGGTGAGACAAACTCTTTCCTCCGCAAGGCATTTCAACGGTCATGGTATTTATCACAGCAACAGAAATCTAGCTAGGGTAGCCCTCCCGCTTCCTAACTTCATTCTGAGGAAATGTCATCTCTTATAGTAATGACATCTCAACTTATAGAGCTCCACCAAATTGCTTTGATCTTCCTCATGAAGATTTTCTTCTAACCAAGTTTGTATCTAAACAATAACTTTTATTTTTGGCTATTGATCCTACTGGCATAAGAATAAACCAATTATGTTATAATGAAATAGGCAAACTTTTTAGATAACATAACAATGTGACCAAGATTGAAACCAAATTTTGCTAAAGGGATATTTTAAGATTCTAGTAGCAAAGCAGAAAAACCAACAAACCTGGGTTCTGCTCAAAATCATCAAGAAGTTTGTCCAAGTCACTGACTGCTGCTTTAAAGTAACTGTCCATCCTACCTGTAGGCTTACTCAGAATTTAATTCTTGTAGCCTAGAAAATAAAAAGTACAATATTATATTTAATTTTCTACCATACAAATATTATGCTATCAAAGTAGAAAGAAAAATAAAATTAAAGCTGGGCATTGTGGCATATGCCTTTAATCCTAGCACTCAGGAGGCAGAGGCAGGTGGATCTCTATGAGTTCCAGATCAGCCTGGTCTACACAGCAAGTTCTAGGTCAGTCAGAACTGTTACACAGAGTCTTGAAAAGCCAAATACATACATACATACATAAATAAACAAAAAGTAAATGTAAGCAGTATTCCTTTTCCATAACATAGGTAGAACATGCTCTCTCCATGAAAGTGACAAGAAAGGCAACTTTTACACACAACATCTACACACACACAATCCTGTATGGGAGAGGGGGCAGTGAGTGTGTGAAGCATGCACATAAGTGTGCAAGTGGAAACCAAAGGTCAATCCACATTTTCCTCTGTCACTCTCAACTCACTGACTTAAAAAAGGTCTCCCACCCAGCCTACAATCCACAACCCCAGAGAAGCCAGAACCCTCTTCCAGAAACAGATGGGAGCTGATGCAGAAATCCACAACTAACCAATGGGCCCAGCTCCTGGAGTACAATCGAAGTGAGGGAGGAGGAATAATGTGAACAAAGAAGTGGGGAAACCCACAGAATCAGCAGACCCGAGCTAGTGAGAGATCACTGACTCAGGTCTGACAAATGGGGAACCTGCATAAGACTGAACTAAATATAGGTGACAATGGTGCAGCTGAGGCAGTTTATGAGGTCACTGGCAGTGGGTCCAAGATCTAACTCTAATGCAGAAACTGACTTAGCGGAGCCTACTCTATATGGAGAGATACCTTGCTCACTCTAGACATAAGGATGTGGGAGTGGAGAGGTACCTTGGTCCTGCCTCAAGGACATGATGAGACAAACTTAGCAGACTTCCTAGGGGGGAGCAGGAGAAGAGGAGAAAGGAGGAACTGGAATTAGAATATAAAAAATTTAAAAAAAGGTCTCCCACAGAACATTTCAGCAAAGTGGGTTGGCCAGCAAGCTCTAAGGATCTACCTGTCCCATACCATCAGGTTTACAGGTGTACATAGCCACGCCTGCCTTTAACATGGCTTCTATAACTTCAAGCTTATGTCCTAATCCTGCATGGCACACAATCTTTCTCACTGACTTATCTCTCCAGTCCAGTATTATTAATTTTAAAATCATATCTAAATAATTCACAAGTCAGACTAACAATGAAAGGCTACAAATACAAATATATAAAATATACACTCTGTCGAGTAGCTGAGGCAGAGACCATGGCAAGACTGCCAGTGACCATCAGAAGGGAAGAAGCCACGCCAAGGGGCTCTTTCTGCTTAAATTGGATAAATGAACGTCAGAACAATGAAGAACACACAGAACTGAAAACAAATCAAATAAAATTTAAAAACCAAGCACTCATAGTAACATTAAGCTCAAAACCAAAGAACCCAATCTACTGGAAGGCTGCTAGGGTACTATTACTCTAAAAACTAATGAAATGAAGAAAATTAGCAGAGAATTATTCTTTCACTTATTTACAGAATACACTTCCAGATAATACTATAGTTACTGAGAGAACATTCTTTAGGTAAGAATTCTAGTAAATAAGTGCAGAAGGATTTAAACTTTAAAAAAATCTTTTAATAGCTCTTAATGCAATAAATGAGCTATGCAACTGTTATCAATAAATGTTAAAACTTTAGAGGGGATGTCTGATGGGGACTTCCTGATGTTAGGGTTGGGTCAGTACACTACAATCCAGTAATCAGTTTACCATCAATAATTGGAAGAACACCATCACACAGAACATGAGCCTGGGTCTAATCAAATCTGAAAACTAATTATATATTTCCAGGAAATTCAGTCATATAAAGGCAGCTAAAGCATTTAGAAAAGCAACTATACAAATTAACCCAGAAAGTAGAAGACTATGTTCTTCAAGCTGCCTGTGGTGAATGACCAGTTTGTTGGGGACAAAAAAAAAAAAGACCTTCCCAAGTACTGCTAACTATCATTTTTGTAATGCACAATAAAGCTATGCAAATTTTGTAAGAATACATATAAACAAAGGGATATGATAATTAAATATATTCAAATGTTGCTTGGCATAGAGAATGAACAAGAGTGACATAAGGGTTTTTAAGAACTCATTATGATTCAACTAAGGCTATTGATGATTCAGAAGTGGAGAAAACAATGACAGATACCACTTGGGGGTGGGGAGAAAATCACAGAGAAATGAGGAAGAGATAAATATAAAACAGAAATTTAGAAATCCAACAAGAGAATAGAGTTCCATAAGGGGAAAGGAGTATGGGAAAATTTCTTTTGAAGGCAATGCCAGGAATTTTTTCCAGGATTCATAAAAAATTGAACAGATAAAAATAATACAGCATATCACAATAAAACAGAAATTCACACTTTTATGCACATTACAGGAAAACAACTAAACTCCAAAAAGCAGCCAGAGAGAAAAGGTCATTTCAAAGTTACAATTATGCTAAGAACAAGCTTAAACCAAGGAATATTTCAGAAGTATTTTCAATAACAATGCATGGCATCTCAATTCAATAGAGCCTGTTAGATCTTGTTTCCATTTTCAAATAAACCATTATATTATATAAATAAAATTGTCAAAAAAAAACAAACAAACAGATATTTAGTCAGTGAAGGGAATTTAGAGGAAGAAACAATGCAGGAAAGAAAACACCAAGACATATTCTGAGAGGAAGAGTCTTCTACGCAACTACGAAACAGGAGCACAGAACCATAAGGAAGGAACATAGGGACAACAGCTGATCTTAAAATCTTAGAAGTTGGAGAGACTCAGTAAAAACAATTCTTTCACCAGAAGCAGGGTTCAATATATTCATTAAAAACAAACAAACTTGAAATCAACAGTTTAAACTTTCATTTTGGGAAACTATATTGAAAAACCAATTTATCCTAAATTAGAAATAGGAGAAAAAATGAAAACTAAAGAATGCTGACATTCTAAGTATAGACCACCTAACTGGCACTCATGTATTTATATGTGTTTTCTTCTTTTTTTTAAAAAAAAAAAATTGTTTTTATTTGTTTAGATTTTTGGCAGGACCTCATCTAGCCATATATATATAATCTCCAATCCAAGGATGACAATGAACTCCCTACCATTTGCCTCTACTTCTCCAATGCTCCTGTTACAGCTGTACACCACCACTTGGAAAAGAATGCATGAGTGAATTCATTCACAACTGCCTAAAGGTGGAAGCAACCACAACCATGTATCTTTGATTGCCACACGAATAAATGAACCATGGTGCATATTATTATTTAGTGAAATGTGTTAACCAAGTCACAAAACACAGGAATGATCTCTAAACACATATTGCTAAATACAAGAATCCATATTTACTCCATGATCCAATTACATGCATTCTGGGAAAGTAAGGCTATAGAGACAATGAACATGCCAGTGGTTGCTAATAGTCTGGAACTCGGGAGAGGTGGATACAATAGATGTTTCATGGGAATAAAGCTACCTCTATGATACTGCAATGGTGAACCAAGAGAAAAAACACTTGAAAGCACCTATAGAACTTTATACCACAAACAATACACCGCAATATACACAATACAAAAAAGTATTAGCTAGACATGGTAGCTCATGCCTATAATCCTAGCACTTGGGAATCTATGGCAGGACGATTGCAGCATGTTCAAGGTTTATCTAGGTTACACAGTAAGTACCAGGCCAGGGCTATAGAGCAAGATCCTGACAAAAACCCAAAGTCAAAAGTTGTTACAAATGTATGAAACAATGCCATTACAGGGTAAAGGAAAGGTACTGACTTTTGGAAGTAAGTATTTAAGACTAAAAGCAAAAGGAACACAACACAGACTCTTCTATTTCCTATAGTAACTACTAATTTTATATCCTTGTAGGGAGTTATGTAAGTTACAGTTAATGCTACCATCTGGAGTAACTTTCTCCTGGGATTTAAACATCCATAGGATAGGGCCTAGTATTTTATTCACTCATGTATTCAGTGTTCCCTCCCCACCCCCAATTTTTTTTGTTATTTTACATGTACAGGTGATTTGCCTACATATTTGTCTGTGTACCACATGAATAGCTGAAGAGTTGTCAGATCCCCTGGAATTGAGTTATACGCAGTTGTGAGCCACACATGTGCTGGGAATTGAACCCAGGTCCTCTTAAAGAGCAGCCAGTGCTCTTAATTGATGAACCATTGCTCTGGCCTAATATACAGTGTATCTATCAGTACCCATCATGTAAGGTATGCTACTGAGTAAATATAAGAACTTCCAGAGAAAAGTAACAGAATTGGTTATCATTCTGGCATTACACTTCTCAACAATAACAACAGAGCAAAGGAACATTGGAGCCATCCCTCTAAAATTCTAAAAGTAACAAATCAGCTAAGTGTGATGGTTAAAATATTGTCTAGACATACTGAAAGGGGTGTTCTACAAATATGATAGAGGCCCCAAGGAACAGAAAAACTTGAGTCTAGGAAACAAGCTATTCCATATCAGAGAGACACAATGGAATTCATACAAGATGACAAGATGGTAGCCCAGGAAAACTGCTATATTTTAGGACCAGAAACAGAAGCTAGGCACCACAAATCTGATGAAATATACTACAAAGCAAAGACATTAATGTATACATTTGAACCTACTCATAGGTGAATAGCATATCTTGTCTGAGGTGTTAAAATCCCAAAGAATATAAGCTACAAATTAAAAAAATATATGAGCCGGGAAGCAGTGGCAGGCAGATCTCTGAGTTCAAAGCCGCCATGGTCAACAGAGTGAGTTTTAGGACAGCCAGGGCTACACAGGGGAACCCTGTCTTGAAAAATAAACCAACAAACAAAGATATGAAATATATTCATAAAGATGCATGAGAGGTAGATATAAAAAAATAAAGTTACTTCTAACTCTAGGAAAGTGGTAATTACATAATGATACAAACACAAAGTAATTCAGTTAACATGTAACTAGCTAGAGAATACCAGGGGAAAGAATGTGCATTGCAGTGTTCAAACAGAAGAGTGGAAGCAGCAAATCTGACTCCTATAAACTATAACTAGAATAGGGTAGGATTGTGGAGGAGAGATAACTATACAGATAAATATGCTATTTAAACATCTGGAGGTTTAAAAAAAAAATGAGGTTATTGCCACTGAAGCAGCCTGTTCAGTTTTGTGAGAGAATTCTTTACTGCCCTAAGGCATCTACATCTAGTAACAAAATAACTTCATTTGCAGGCATTAAAAGTACTATTATTTGTATCATCCATGGGAGAACCCAGAAATAGTTCCTGAAACCATTTTCTGTGTTCTATGATTCACACAGGGAGCCTAGACTAAGATAGGTTCCTCTGGAGAGTAGAATTCTGCATCAGAACAAGAAAAGGTAAGTACGTTTTTCATTACAGACCTCTAGTATCTTCTAAATCTTTATGTAGGGTATGGTTACTCCACCCCTTTTGGAGACATGATCACACAATGTAGCTCTGGCTAGCCTTGCTGACCTTGACTATAGAAATATGCCTGCCTCTGCCTCTTGAGCATTAGGATTGAAGGCATATGCATCATACTAATTATTTTTTTAACAAAAAATTAAAATTAAATATAATGGCAAAAAAAAAAAAATAGGCCAGGAGTGGTGACATATGTTTGTAATCCCAACTCAGGAAGGAGAGACAGGAGGATCCTGTAAATTCAAGACCTGCCAATCTAATTTACATAGCAAATTCTAGTCCAGCCAGCAATACATAGTGAGACACTGTCCCACAAAACCAAAGTAAATGAATAAGTACATTCATATTTGAAAGAGTAAAGAAGCTCTGAATATGGAATGTCTTTAAAAAAAAGAAAAACTATCACCAACTGGGTGGTGGTGGCACATGCCTTTAATCCCAGTACCTAGGAGGCAGAGGCAAGCAGATCTCTGAGTTTGAGACCAGCCTGGACTACAGAGTGAGTTCCAAGGCAGCCAGAGCTACACAGAGAAACCCTGTCTCAGAAAACAAAAACTATCACCAAAAGTTCTAAAACAGTTTCTCACTAGCAAAATCCAGGTTTTTTTTTTTGTTTGTTTGTTTGTTTTGTTTTGTCTTATTTTTTTAACAAACCAAAGAATCCATTAAAGAACATCTATTTATAGAACATCTCAACATAGTAACTAACACACTGCTAAGCATTATATTATTTGAAGTGCCAAAAGTACAGGAAACAATACAATTCAATTTATAAAATGTATGACAATGCAAATACTTTATATTGGGATCTTTTTAACATGAAGTACTACTAAGCTGTGGATTTTCTCATTTCAACCAAACAAAAGGTACTTTTGGTCTAGCAATCTATTATAAATAGGAGAAACAAACAAAATGTACAATATACTCTATATTTTAAAGTTTGTGCATAGAAGCACTGACAGGATTATTTTTAAGTCTCCTGTATAAGCTCATGACATTTATTTTTTCTACTTATCTGTTTATTTGTGTGGGTATGAAGGTCAGAAGGAAACTTCCAGAAAGGAATAATTCTGTCCTTCCATCATGTGTCTTAGGAGCAAACACCTCAGGCTCCCGGGCTGCACCTATACCCATTAAGCCATCCTGTCAGCCCAATGATGACCTGAGATATTTTTACTAACTTGGCCATTTATATACTTTCAGATTTCCAAACAAATTTTATAATATTCAGTTTTATAAGTGGTTTTAAAAGTCTCTTCATGGTTTAAAAAAAAAATGGTGGCAACAGGGAAGATTAATAATAAAAAACAATAATGAAACCTAAAATTGCTAAAGTGAGAGACAATGAGGACATGAGCAGAGACTGAGGTGAAGAAGAAAAGAAACAAAAAAAAAAAAAAAAATAGCTAAAAAACCTGAACTTTTCGAGATTGAAACAAAGGAAAGGGCTGGAATTAGCACAGGTTCCCAGTGTGGGAGACTTGGCAGACCGATGGAGATACACTGACCGTCACAGACAATTCAAGAGGAACAGGAAGAAGGGAGACACATGAGACTACTATGTGAAGTACCTTGAGAACATCCTGGGGAAGATGTCCAAGTGGCTGTTGAATGTAAGGACCTGGAATGCAGAAAAGAGTCTGAGATAGAGACTGGGAAACTGGCAACACATAGCTGTTAAAGGAAGTAACCTAGGAAAAGAATTCAAGAGCACAGGCGCCTGACACTAGACGGCTAATGATCCCTAAACTTGTCTAGATAAAGCTATGTCCTGGGTTACACATACTTCTGTAGACAATATCCAATATGCAGTGTGGAATGAAAGAAAATCACAAAACTCTATACAATAAACATCCATTCTCTACAGTTAAGATACTATCCAGACAGTTAATTAAGATCGTATTAGCAAAGGGGAAAATATAGAGGAACAAATACCAGACTAAATTTAGAACTGGTATTTATGTAAACCTTTCAGAGCTCTACTTTTTATTTTTATGTTATTTATTTATTTATTTATTTATTTATTTTGGTTTTTCAAGACAGGGTTTCTCTGTAGGTTTCAGAAACTGTCCTGGAACTCTCTTTGAAGACCAGGATGGCCTGGAAATCACAGAGATCTGCCTGCCTCTGCCTCCTGAATGCTGGGATTAAAGGTGGGTGCCACCACCGCCTGCCAAAGAGACATGAACTCTTGTATAGAAACATAAAATTTATTTTCCTTAGAAATGATATAATGTAGCCTCACAATATAAAAATAATAAAAACCTGTTAAAAAGGCTCCTGGACACTAGAATGCAAGTGGGTAAAATAAATTATATGGAAAGACAATATGACCATGAAAAGATTCAATATACATTGAATCATTAAGATTTAAAAATACCATTGGTTGCTTGCTAAGTTGAAACAAAGTTTTTTTTTTTTAAATATAATAAAATACTTGATGTTGGTGAGGTATGGGTTTTAAGAAAGAATCTCAACTGCTACTGACAGAAAATGATACGGTCTCTCAAGCAAACGATGTAACAATATGTAGAAATAGTCTTGGGGGGGGGGGAAATCACAATTATCTCTTTAAATTCAAGAAAATAACCCAAAACCACAGAAAAAATATGCAGATATTTTATCAATCATTAGGTGAAATAATTCAAACAAATGACCTGGGAACCCAAAAGAAAATTATGAAAATCATCCAAGTTAATTCCTATGTCTATGAAAACAGAAGAAGGGGGGCAGGGTGGGAGACAGAACTCTAAGACCTAGCAATTCAACCTGCAGATAAACGCTAGCACCCATGGGCAAGAACACACAAACTTCCAATGCTGCACAGTTTGTAAGTGAGAAGCACATGAGAACAGACTATTTAATAGAAGAATGCTTAAATCAGTTGCTCTCTGCTTTGCTGAGAAAACAGGTCTTCTCTTTTCTAACCGAGTGACTACGCAAAGACAAGTTTTCCTCACGGGCTTTAAACAAGCCAGTGCCCCAAGACCAACCTAGAAATACAAGCCTTCAGCTGTTTTCTATGACGCCAGACATTAAAGTGACTTGCTTCCAAGTAAAACAATACCTTCCTGCTCCCTAAACTTAGTTTTGGAAAGAGAGTTGGTTTACAATCTAGATACTTAGTAAGTACATCAATGGTTTTACTTTTACCTAGCTTTATTATTGAGACAGCAATTTACTGTGTAGCCCAGGCTGGTTTGTAGCTCAGTCCTCCTGACTCCACAGTTACTTGCTGGGGTTATAGTCACTATAATACTACTGGGAAATGAATACGTGAAAAAAAATAAAAAAGAATTTTCTGAGTTTTAATTTCCAAAATGGTAAATACACTGCACTAGTAATTATTTTTTTTCCAATTGTCATTACCCTCAATCATAGGGATACTATGTATAACACAGAATTATGATTGGAATAAAAGGGATTTAGTGAAGTAGCTACTTCAAAAGATGCTTTTGCTCATATATTACGTGTATAGTAAAAAGGAAATCGGTTATGTATAAGGCTTTAAAAAAAAAAAAAAGATGGGGGGGGGGGTGGAGGCTAAGCAACCTGATCCTTAAGTTTAAAATGTAATGGGAGCAAAAAGGACAAAAGAAAAATATCCAAATATTAAGCGGCTGACTTTTGTATGGAAGAACTCCACCATCCCTTATCCTTTGCTGTCACTTTTAAATAGCTTACCACTAAATACGTAGTTGAATATCTAAGACAGAGAAAAGAGAAGTTACGTGAAAAATCAGAGCTCTGATTCAAGCCATTAAACTTTCGCCCACTCAAGAAACGCCAAACTCTAGGAGAGTAAATGACGGAACCCGATGACATCACTAAATTATTCTTTGAATAAAAGGATGAACTTAATATTAAATTTACGGGCTGGCTTCCTGACCTGTCCAACCAAGAAGATAGATGGGTCGGGCATGTAACCATTTGCAATCACGGTCGCACAAACAGGTTAACGGCTAAAAAAGTCATCTTATCAGAAGCACTAGAAAGAAAAGGCAGCGGGGGCGGACACTAGGACATCCCTGCGACGGGGGCGGCGGCCACAACCGGCGAGGACTAGCGGGGGCCAGTGCGCTCCGGGCCGGGCCGGGCCTGCGGTGGGGTCGGGTATCCAGGCTGCACAGCGCCCAGCGGGTCCCCGAGGAAGGCAAGGCCCAGCCGTCGGAGCCCGGCAAGCCCGCCGCCACCCCGCCCCTCCGCCCGCAGCACGCTGAGGAGAGGCCGGCGGCGGCTCCGGGGCTCTTACCTCCCCACACCCCGCCGAGCTCTAGGGGACTCGACGCGATGCCGCAGTGAGGCGTGAAGAGCGACCGGGTCGCGGCACCACGGACTGCGCGACGCCGACCCAGAGCCCGTCCCCTGCCGACCCAGCAGACCGGCGCGCAGGCGCAGAGGAGGCACCCAGCTGCCACGCCCCCTCCGGGAGGCTAGGCCTCTGCGCGTGCGCGCTGCCCGGGTCCGAGCTGGCGCGCCGGAAGTGGCTGAGCGGCTCTGCTGCAGGCTGGAGCCTTGACGCGGCGAAGTACTCTGTGCGGCTGGGCTCGGGGGTCGACTGGAGCCACAGCCTAGCTGACGCGGCGCTCCGGTTTGCATGCCGTGTCTCACTCCCAGCAGTTCCCAAGTGCGGGTCCCCGGCGACGGAGTGGCCGACCCCGCCCTCCCCTCTGCCTGTACTTCTGCATTGCCATCCGGTTGTGGCCTCCAGAGCTGCTGCTGTCTAAAAAACAGAAGCAGGCTAACTTCTGAACGCCACTGGCGCGTTGTCTGCTTTGGCCTTCGTCATTTTCACCCCGAGTTTTCTAAGTTCAAAGCGAGAGAAGGGAAAACTAGGATCCGGTCCTGCTCTGGGACAGCTGGCACGCCTCCGCTTTCAAGATTGCAAGCTTTATCACTGTGATTTGTGTTCAGAGACTTCGCTTCCTCAATCAGCAATTTGAATAGTTTGTGAACCTTCGGGGATACTGAATCTCCAGTTTTGGTTTTTCTAAACTCTTGAAATGGAATTGAGTGTGATTCAACTCAAGAGCAAAACTTATGGTTTCCTGAAATGATGTGTATGATCTATGACAGATAATGCAGAAGACATGCTTTGCTTACATTACCTCATTAATTTTAAAGAGTAATTCCACAAAGTACAGTGTGCACTTTCTCTATTACACGTTGGACACTGTTCACAGGTAAATGGGTCCATCACATTTTTAGAAACCTCAATTCAGAAGCAGCAACTCATGTATGCAAATTCATATTAGGGACAAAAGTATCTATATAGTATATTGTAAAGACAAGAGACATTTGAAAATAAAACATCAACACTTACTAGTACATCAATTCACAAAATTGCAAAGATGTCTACCACATTTTATCTATGTTCAAACTCAATAATAATAAAGACAGAAGTAGTGTATTCTCTATAAATCTGATTTACCAATTTGTTTAACTTATGGATGAATTTCACTGGTGAAAATGATGTGGATACTCTCATACCCTGGTGTGGATATAAGTTAAGAAAGATTCAGATATAAAGTAGTTCATTTGAAAGTTGTCAAATCCTATCAAGGACCTTACAAATTTCATATGACCTAAATAAATGATTTCCCAGTAGCAATTGTAAAAATGTTCTTTAGAACAAAACTTTTTGTATGCAAAAATATTTATCACGACTTTTTAATTGACAAAAGGACTAACTAATGAGATGGTTTGGTGGGCTTAAGTGTTTGCCATGCAAATCTGACACCTAAATTTGAATCCTCAGAACCTGCTTAGTAGCCAGTTGCAGTAGTTTAATCCCCAGGCACACCAATAAGGAGAAGGGAGGTAAAGACAAAATTTCAGAAACTCATAGGCTAGGTAGGATGCTTCCCTCCTAGGTACCAGTCATTTTTCTTGTCTTTTTTCCTGCCTCACTTATGATTAGGAGTGTGTTCTTGATCACTGAAACTAAGAAACCAGTCCCTATTCCCTCCTTCCCTTTTCACTCTCTGAATTTGAATTCTAGTCCTATCACTTATTAGCTGTGTGACCGAAATTGCTAGGCTTAAACACTGATAGAGACTGATAGAAACAATATGTAGCTTGAGATATCCACGTAGCATGATTAAATGGGGAACTCAAACGAATCATCTCTGCTGTGGTGACTTTACTCCTTCTGTGAGCTGTTGGATTCTATTCATGTTGGTATACCAGTGCATATCAATGTCCTTCAAACATAATTAAAAACTGACTTTCTGTGGCTGGAGATTCAGTGTTCATCACTCAAGTAGCAGCCCATACCCAACAGTCTGCAAGTCCAGTTCTGGGGGAGCCAACACCCTGGGCACATGAGTGATGCACAGACATATATATTCGAGCAAAACATTCATACACATAAAAGAAAATGAATGTTTAAAATGCTGACTCTCTTAACCTAGAACAAGTCTTTCATTTTTTGCTTTTTAGATAACAGGGTTTCTCTGTGACTTTTGGAACCTGTCCTGGAATTCACTCTCTGGACCAGGTTAGCCTCAAACTGACAGCCTGCCTCTACCTCCAGAGTGCTGGGATTAGCCACCACTGCCACCACCACTGCCTGGCTAAAACAAGCCTTGACTGCTAATCTATGCAATTGTCACCTCCAAAAGACCTGGAGTTCTTGTTTTGGTGATTTTTGTTGTGTGTTTGTGTTTTTCAAGGCCTGATGGAAAATATCAATAGTGCCAGGGTCAATTTAACCAGCAAATGGTTTAAAACCAATGCTTCCAATTCCTGGTCAGCAGTTCCTTTTTCTCTGGTGACTACAATGCAAACTAAACTTTGTACCAAGCAGCAATACACAAGCAGTTAAGGGGACAGACATCTACAATAGCAGTTTACAGAGCACACACAGAGTGACATTTCACACCCACAGATTCATCCAGAAAGAACCTGCAGTCACTCCTTATCACTGCTTTACAAATAGGTGTTATTTATTGACCACCTACTACTTTTTAGCCCGTAAGTGAGACAAGCAGCCTCTTGGCTAAATGGTTTGGCTCAGCTGTGAACAAGTCCAGAGTTCTGGAATCTTCCCAGGTGTTGGAAATGTGAGGCTATGCACAGCAGCACTTACCTACAGAGACCTTTATCTTTCCAGCACACCGAAGGGCCCAAGGCCTATTAACCTGTTTTTCTTTACACACGTGCTAGGATTTAGCAATAGCTATTGGGAAAACAGCTTTTCAGCTCTTGAAGGAAAGTTATAATTATGACACCTACAAGACAATTCAGACACCCAGAATTTCTTTGAGTGTGTTTTGAAATCAATGGCAAAGAAATGAGTAAGAATAACAAGATTTGCTGATAAATATCATTAAAACATCCATGTTTTTGACATCAACACAAATATTTGCTTATATACCATAATTGCACTGTAGCAATGACAGGCTCATTGGAAAAACCTTATAGTGCTCTTAGTATCTATTTGTTGATTGAATCACTTATGTTTTGACAAGGTCACACTATGTAGTCTAGACTAACTGCATACTTCTACCTCAGCCTCCAAGGACTAGGATTACTAGTGTGTACCTCTATACTCAGCTTTTGAGGTACTTTTTAAATGACAAAGAAGAAAAAACTTGTATGGGTTTCTTTGGATTCTGTTCTGTTCTAGTAAAGTGATTTCTCTAGTTCATTAATGGCTATTTATTTGAATAATCTGTTCTCAGTTCCTACATATCTACTAAGTAAATTAAATAAATAAATAGTGGTTTGGGGCCCAGAAGTACTTAATTAAATAAAACAGATATTTTATACTAAATTATGTTACTTTGTTAACAATAAAAATTTTTTTAAATTTTTTAAAAACTGTAGCAATGCTACTTTGTAGCCTCCGTTGTTTTGTAACACTTGGCTGTGTTTGTTTGCCCAGTCCTGCTGCTCTATTACATTAAGCTCAAAACTGACAGCTTTGTTAACTTGTGGCTTCCAGAATAAGGAAAACACACATGCTATTAAAAACTAAAAGCCTTGCCCATACAAATGCAATTGTACTTTGTATCACTTTTACTTGCTCTCAGAAGTTTTTTTCTGTACAGTACATCCTTATAGGAGTTACAGGGATTACACACATGAATGATTCAGACTAACATGGAAGAAGTTCACAGTCCACTCTGCCATTCTTTTATTTACCAGTATATTCACTGGGAGACAAATGGAAAATCTGTAATGGTATAGAGTGGTGAGAGCTAAATTCAACCTTAGTATTACTGTCAAAGCCAGCCTCCTCCCCTCCCCCCCTTTTTTTCTCCATGATATAGGATTTCTCTGTGTGGTCCTGTCTGTCCTGGAACATAATATGTAGATCAGGGTGGCCTCAGACTTGGAGATCTGTGGTCAGATTTTTCAAGGACATCTCCTATCAGAGATCTGCCTACTTTTGCCTCCCAAGTGCTGGGATTAAAAGTGTGTGGCACCACCTCCCGGCATATTATTTTTTGTGTGTTTTAGAAACCTAGTATTTTATTTGTTAGTTTTGGGATGCCCTATGAACTTCCTAATTTTTGTAATATTAATTTGCCTTTATTCTTGGGAATCTCATACATGTATACAATGAAACATGATCAAATCCATCCCCAACTTTCTTTATCTTCCAAGCCCCCACCTACTTCATGGCCCCTCCCAACTCCATAATCTCTTTTAGAAAATAATACTCTGGGAAGTGGCCATGCACACCTTTAATCCCAGCACTCAGGAGGCAGAGGCAGAGGCAGAGGCAGGCAGATCTCTGTACATTTGAGGCCAGCCTGATCTACAAAGTGAGTTCTAGGACACCCAGAGCTGTTACACAGAGAAACCTTGTCTTGAAGAACAAAAACAAAAACAAACAAAAAAACCTATTAAGTCCAATTAGCATTTCCTGGATGTGTATGGGTGCAAGGTCACCCACCAGGATATGGGACATCTACCTGTCTCTATACTTTCAAACAAGCATGATTCTCCCTCCCCTAGCAACTCCCAACTGCCAATAGTTCCTCAGGAAGAGATGGGGCTCGGTAGCACCTCCCCAGTCCTTGCCAAAAGTCTGGTTGGATTGATCTTGTGCTGGTCTTGCACAGGAGGCCATAGCTGGTGTGACATCATGCCAGAAGTTTGCATTTCACAGCATCCCTCCCCATCATCTAGCTCTTTCTACCTCCTCTCCTTTAGTGTTCCTTAAACCTTGGTAGTGGTGGTAGAGAATGAGAAAAATATCTCCTCTAGGGTTGACAACCCAGACTCTTATTCTCAGCCCTTCAACCACTTACGCATGTCAGCATCATCTGTTGCCTGCTGCAGAAAGTAGCTTCTTTGACCAAAGTTGAGAGCATCCTAGGTCCCTAGGGATAAATATAAGTGTTTAGAAGGCAATTTCACAACATGGCCATTTAGCAAAATCACAATACCAGGTTCTC